TAAATTGTCAGTGTCATATACTCATATCATAAATATTGTTATTACTTATTATTATGATAAAATTTCAAATGTTCATCAATAATAATAAATGTTTTACTTATACGTTCGTTTTTTCTCCGTGATAATTACAACATATCCAAGGGGGAATGTTTCGCTCAGAGGACACTGCTTTTGCCGTACTGCACATCACGGGAAGATTACACAGTCGTTATCCACCTATTTGCACCTAACACAAAACCATTTACCGTATTCTATTTTACAGGGAGATTTCACAATTTCACAATTTCACAATTAATCTATTAATCTGTAAACTGCATACAACATACCATGGGCGCCCATTGGGGGGGGGGGGAAGATAGGAAGATTTCAGAACTGATATATTGATATAGGTAACCAAATGAATAGAAAGGTGTGAACTATGAAACTGCGCATTTTAATATGTTCTATGGAAACATTGGAAACTCTCCGATCCATTGATTATACATAGTATATAATATGGTTAGGTATATACTATGTATAATCAATGGTTGTACTAACAATAATAAAATAATATTAGAAAACAAGTTAGGTTTTAGTTATTACACCCTGTGTATAGTTATTATAGTATTATCGAGGATTTTCTGATGGCTCTTGAGGCCAAATTTTTGGTGGAAATATACAATCATCTTCTACGTATACGTATACGTATTACATATATGATATATGTAATATATAATCAGAAAATAAGCATCCTACATCTATATTTTGACATATAGATACAAGTTCAACGAATGCATTTTCGATCTCATGTGGTGGTAGGAATGGCAACCCGAAAAATAGTTTTAACCAATTTCCTAATACGCCGTCGTTTGTATATGCTGCTCGGAGTTGCTGATCAGAATTTATCTGTAAAGTTAATACGTTTAAATTTATAATTTTATTGTATTATGTGTATATTTATAATATATTTTAAGCATAATAAATTACTTTCCGCCACCAACACTGCCCTAAATGAAATCGACATGCTTGAATTTATCTTATGATACAACCAGGCCTGTATTTAGGGGAGGGCCAGGGTGGGCCATTGCCTCTCCTGGCGGAACTTGGGGGGGATGTAAATTTTCACGAATTTTGTTTATGTATTAAGCTAACATATGGTTATAATTTTGAAATTATATAAAATATTTTTTTCCTTATGTATGTATTGTGTGGTTTGGTGAAGATTTCAAAACATTTGCTATGAAACGGGCAAGAAGAAAAAATTGTTATCATTGTATCTATTTTAGTTTTTTATTGCAGTTTCAAACAAATAATATCATGCATATATTATGATTATATATTATACCTACTTATACTTTCTCTATAATATAATAATTATTAATAATAAATGTGTAATGTGTTTAAAATTGTTAATAAAAATTAATATTAATAATATAATTAAATATTATAATATAATATAAAATTAAATTAGTAAGCGTGGTGCATGGCGCCATGGTAAACCGCAACGTTATGCAAATGCGTAAAACAGAAAATCGAAAGCTTTGGAAGTACATAACTTATAAAAGAATGATTTGAATTTTCTTCTTGCACATTCGTTCTTAACTCATATTAAATACATGTTTAAAAAGGTGGGTAAGTGGATGTCGCTCTGCTGTACAGTAGGTTACAAGTGGGTCACTGTTTAATGGATGGTAAATTTGAATTCAATGATATAATATCATTGTAGGTATACGAAAAACGATTCTGAGCTGGGACGGGTTGTCATGTGGGATATTTGATATTATATTTAAATTTGTTATTACTTATTACAAATACGGTAGCCGGTGAGTTCAATTAATATTATTATAAAATTTCAACAAATAATAACTAAAATCGTTTTTCTTGGTTATTTTATATGTAATTTCGTCCAAATATGAACATAAAATAACTATAAAAAAAACTGTGTGTTTATACATTTTTTTTAACACTGGACATCCACATATTCCACCAAAAGGAGGGGCGGAATTTAATCATTTGAATCATTTCATTCACACTTTAATCAACAGTTCTACAAATCACACCCAAACATAAGTATATTTTTAAAAATTTTGGTTGAAAATGTCCAGACGGACACTTACATTAAAATAAATAGTGCCAATTTAAATATTCCGAATACACCGAAAAATAAATCAACTTTGTTAAAATGTGCTAGGACTAGTAAGGCTATAACTGATTTTAAAAATAAACTAATATCCCGTTATTCGTACGTAAAGTGTGTTGCATTCAATTATGTTAAATAAATTAACAAAATATTTGTTAATTTTATTATGACTTTTTAATTATTTTAATTTTTGTATTTATAATAAAACTAGGTATGACAAAATATTATGTATTTATTAAGAATATGACAAAATATTATGACTTTTTAATTATTTTAATTTTTGTATTTATAATAAAACTAGGTATGATAAAATATTATGTATTTATAAATAAGTGTCTTTTACTTTATTATCATATTCATTAAACTTAGTAACTAGGTATGACAAAATATTATGACTTTTTAATTATTTTAATTTTTGTATTTATAATAAAACTAGGTATGATAAAATATTTTATGTATTTATAAATAAGTGTCTTTTACTTTATTATCATATTCATTAAACTTAGTAACTAGGTATGACAAAATATTATGTATTTATTAAGAATATGACAAAATATTACCTATGTATTTTTTATTTGAGTATAATATATTTATCAATATAATATGTTCTTATATAATATTTTATAATATAAACCATGTACAATTATCTCAAGTTAAAACTTAAATATTCCTTAAAAATAATATGCATAATACTCCAAGTATTATGGAATATATTATTATATAATAATTTTACCATAGCAGGTAGTTGGCGGAAACGGGAATTGAACCTTTTTCAATTTGGCGGAAACGGGCAATGGCGGAATCGGTCATTTCAAATTTTGGCGGAAACGGGTAATTCCCAATTAGTGCCCCGGGGCACATCATTTCTAAATACCTACGGCCCTGGATACAACAAAAACTTATCTAATAGGTAAGTTAAGTACCTACCTATATAGCCGGGAAAATATAATCATCTGTTTCATGTTTGGACCCTTACTTATATTTAAGTGAGACGTACGTAAAACGCTATAACCAAGTCAAATAGTCAAATACCTACGTAACCTTATGAAAATCTGGCAACATTGCGCTAAACTCTTGGGTACAAAACGTACGGAATCGACAGGAATCGTGTGTCTTAAAATGTGTACGATTCTGTACGCTGATAAGGGCCGTACGGAATCGTGTTCTACCCACGTGCAAGGCCCCTTAAGTTCAAATTTGGACGAATTACATAACGTCATTTAAACATAGAAAAACGATTTTAGTTAGATATTTTGTGGTAATTTAAAATTATTATTCACGTGTACCTACTCGAAACTCGACTGTGGTATAATCAATGCTGTTATATTACTACTATTTTATTCATATAATATCTATGCGTGCGCCAAATGCCAATGCTCGCCATTGCTCGGGAAATGGGAACAAAATACAAATCAACAAACTACAAAGCAGGGAAAAAATATTTATTGGAATATATTATTTTTGGAACAAATGGTTTATTCCGAAATTGTCACTTGTACATTTGTTCCAATGAACTTTTTTGCAAGCCATATATTCTGTTCCGATATATTTTGTCAAAATCCAATAAGCATTTATTCCAATGATATTTGTTCCAAAGGATTTATGCTACAAAAACATTTGTTCCAATGTTCTCTTTATCAAATTACATTTGTTCCAATGGATATTTGTTCCAATAAGTTTTTAGAACAAAAGTTTTTGGAACAAATGTCTATTGGAACGAATAATTGTGGAACATGTAATACAGTCCCATATTATTAATTCTATAATCGTTTTGGAATTGTATATTTATATATTTATTATCTTATATTTTCCCTCAATTTTAAACGGAACTAATTTATTAATCAACAATATCGATAATATTGTCGATAAAGCTGGGCTCAGCTCACGGCCCTCGTCTGCAGGTATCATAATATTGGTGTAATAAATAATAATAATACGTGAAAATAATAAACAACAAAATTTCGGTCACGTGAATCAACATCGCATAAAATATTCTATGCTCAATCGTGTTAAAGCCGTTAAAGGTATATTATGCTCAATCGTGCTCAAAATTATAAAGTTCTTTATATATAGCCATATAGGTAATCGTGACCGTGCTTTACCGGACTCGGATTGTTATCATCAGAACAAAATGGCTACGATACCTATCGTCAATCCTATAGATATATAGTGCAAGTTCATAACCGGTTCAGGTAGGACACTATAGATACAATATGTAGAGCCTTCGATTTTTGATACTATATTGTCCCGTATTGTCATAATGTTTAGCCACATGTTTACATATCTATATTCTATGTAGGTAGTATGTACCGAACTGTCCGAACTTCGCTATAATATAGGTACTCCATGTCTAGCACGACTCGCACGAGTGATGAATATATTATTATTATTATGTTTGTTTTTTTTATGAAGGCTCTCTATATACTCTCTGGGTATTAGAATCGTCTTTTCACATCGATCCGTGGCTGACTGGTAGTACAGACTGCAGGTCATAGAAAGGATTTAGAAATTAATACGAATACGCTGGTCGAATAATTCAATAATATAATATTCGATCGCCGCTTTATGTACGCAGCTGCTGTGGTGTAAATAGTATAAAATATTACACACTTTATAATTAGGTACCCGAGTTTACTGTACATCGTTTAATCGTTCAGTCGTTCAGGTAAAGTCTGTACTTTAAAATATTTTCTTTCGCAAATCAAACTAAATTATATACTATAATCCCGAACATAGTCGGCGAATTTAATACCTGTCTAAAACTTTGTGATTTTTACCAAAATAAGCCGCGGGCTACATCATTCACATAATATTATTATATACATTAGGGCCTACCTACATAACTACAGTCCGACGGTATATAATATTATTTTAAAACGAAATGGCCGCTCAGATAGAAGAAACTCTGAAGAGAATTCAGACCAGTGACGGTGTCATCGGATTCGTGATAGTGAGCAACGCTGACGGTATGCTATTTGAGGACCGCGACCGTTGTCGACACGTACCCTATATAAGTAACTTTACTATTAATACTTCGTTTTTCAGGCATTCCGATTAAATCTAACATGGACGATGCGATGTCCGTCCGGTACGCTGGATTGGTGCATCAGCTAACCGCGACATCACAGGTGGAGATCCAAAAAGACGACCCGAACGATAAATTGACGTACCTGCGGTTGCGTACCAAACATAACGAAATCTTGGTTATACCAGGTAAATTGTTAGTACTGGTCAGGCGGACGGCCTGGACCACCTGTAAATTCTCGGGGACCTGGTCTGTTGGAATATCACTGACCTGGAAAACTCGGCTAAAATAGTTTTTATTAGTGTAAAGCTGTTAAATACATCAGTAAACACTTATTAATTTTGTAAATTCATCGGTCTGCATTGTTTTCCCAGACTGTCCCTGCAGGTATACAGGCGAGGATCCAAGGGGCCTTAAGGTTTTTAGTAGTGAAAGCCGAAAAGCACTAACGATTGAAAATATTGCCGATGTATTAGATTGCTTACATCTATCTAAGTTATTCGATTGTTTTACAATACTTTCGAATATTTAATAGCATATTGGCCGAATAAAAAACTATCGATATTTTCATTCGAATAAAAACTATTGACATTTTCATTTTTCATTCTATTGCAAGTATTGCAGTATTCAAATAAAAACTATCGCTTTTAGATGTAATTTCGTCCAAATTTGAACTTCAGACTGTCATAAAAAATTATTGTAGACTTACTCTCAACTTTTGGCTTTATATTCACTGACAAGAACTTATGAGGACATTTTTATGTTTTTGGACCGAGCAAAAAAAAAAAAATCTAATCAAACTCGAAATTTCATATGCCTATAAACAGCTCAAAAAAAATTGCAATATTTCGAAAATCGTATGGTGCAAAGAAATCGCTAATACGTTCTGTTAAAATGACATGGATCTAAGGTCATTTTTTTATAGTTACAATAAAAAACAAAATCTATTTTTCAAAAACTGTTTTTGCGTAAAAATCTCTTAATTTGTTTATTTCTTTTTCCTGACGCGTTTGAAAACTATTGAAAAATTTTTACTTTTTACCCTCCCCACCCCCACCAAAAAAAAACCAAATAGATTTACTTTCTTACCATAAAAGATGCTGTTGAAGAAAATCGAAGAAAATAATTAAATAAATAAATAAAAAACACACACTATTGTAAAATCAATATTATTCATCGCTCCGTTCAGCATCTAAAATGGAAGAAGGGATATGACCCCCATTTATTATTAAAAATAACCAATAATTGTAACTTATATTTGATTATTCAAAGTTATTTTTTTGTTAGTTTTTACTATTCAGCCTATGAATAAAACTAACGAATAGTTCTTGGATTGGTTTTACTACTCAGTCCTGGAATAAAACTACCGAATAAATATTCGATAATTCATATAGACGACCTGACTACCGAGTAACATTCGAGTACAAACTATTTGGAAGTGCCCATCACTAGTTTTTAGTATAAGTGGTGATTTGATAAAGGTATAATTTTTTTTTGGTGGAGTTAAATAATTCTATTTATAATTATTCCTATTTAATTAATATAGGAAAGCTTCAAAATATCGAATAATGATTTTAAGAGCCCCTCCTAGGCCTTTTTAATCTCCGCCTATGGTCTTTAGCTCCCTCCCCCTATGTACTTAAATTATAGTTGTATTTTTCAGAAAAATGTCCCTCCTCCCCTCATTTCAGAATTCTAGATCCACACCTGCAGGTATATATGCTAAATACTGTTTATCTACTATCCAGATAACTTTTATCAGTTTAACCTTATTGTCTTATAATTGGAGTGTGGATTTCTATCCAATCGCATATTTTTATCCTTTTCATATTTTTGGATTTTTATCAGTTATCTCCACGAAACATCATAATTTGAAACTAATGGTGAAATTTTTTTTACATATTCCTGCATATTTAAATGTTATTGCATATTGAAGCAAAATTTTTTTAAAAAGACATTAAATAGTATTTTGTCAAGTAGAAAAATTAAAACTAAATTTTATGGGCACTTAAAAATAATGTATATAAAGATAAAATAAATAATCGATTACGACGTAAACTCGCTCTTAATATCGCTCTTGCTGTGTCAGTCGGTTATCGGTTAATACTAAAAAGTTTTAGTCATAAGAAAACTGAAGACTCAAAATATGACTTTACATCAACTTTACATACTTTTTTGCATATTTTCATGATTTTTACTGCATATTTCTTGAATATTTTCATGATTCTTACTGCATACTTTTTGCATATTTTCATTATTTTTACTGCATATTATATGGCATATTTCAATACTTTTTAGTGCATAAAAATCCGCACTCTACTTAAAATCTTTCATTCTACACCATAGGTATAACGATTATTGTCAATTATATGATTTATTCATTTTTGAAAAATTCTTTTTTAAAAAATAATAATTCTTATGTATAACAATTAATTTATTAGAATAATTAAGTCATAGAAAATGTATATAAAAATATTTTTGGTCTTTATGTCGATTTAGTTTAAGTATATATAATATAGGTACTCATCTTAGATATTACATGAGCGTATGAGATTATAAATAATATTATGTACCAGTAGCGGATCCAGAAGTCTCCCATGGGGGGGGGGCGAATTTACAAAAATTGTCTTTTTGTTTAGCCAAATATTATAATAGAAAATAACGTTAAAAAGACAGCCCAAGGGGGGGGGGGGCGAAAGCCCTTTCGACTCCTTCAACCCCTCGTCTCCGCCACTGTTATGTACATAACCATTATTTTGTTACAGATAAACATTATACAATGGTGGTGATTCAAAAACCGACTGGCTCTAGATCACCGATGTAAAATTGGCTACAAAAATTTACTACATAAATGTTTATAATATGTATAAAATTAAACAATTTAATAATATAATAAAATAGTTTTCATTAACTTAATGTTTAAAAATATATAATATGAAATATAAGATCATTTGATTTGAATGATAATTTTACCTAAAAATGTCTGCAATAAACATGTTCATATTATTAGAGTTATATGGTTCAACAATACCATTTAAGTAAGAGATATGATTGTATGAGGATGGAAAAATTTGTAATATATTGTCATAAATAAAATTCCAACAAAAAATGGTGCTATCGAACCTATCATCAGCGGATAGTAGTACCAATGGTTTTGATCCGTACCAGTGATAGCCCAAATAGTTACTGCAGCTACATTTTCCACTAGGAATACTCCATAATACCCTAAGTAACGATTTCTTGAATTTCCTTGGCCTTCACTGGGTGATAAATAAGTGAAAATGTACACAAGACCGAGTATTGTTGAAAAAAAAAATCTCATGATTCCACTTTCCTCAGATTGGTTGGATGGCATACAAAATGTTACATTCTGATATTTGAAAATCCACAATGTCATAAAGAGCCAATGAACCATACAAAAAATACTAGTTGACTGTGGCCACACTATAGCAGCCAAACTAATTGACAAAATTCGAGACACTGAAAAATAAAAATGTGTTACAAATTGTAACACAGAGAAGTTTTATTATACATTTAGATAAAATGTTTTCCATAATGCATTTAAATAATATTATGATGTTTTAAATCATATGGAATATAAGTTTAAAACTATTCTATTATATACTTTTTACATCTTAAATACATGTTAAACATACCTGTAATCATTATGTGCCATAAAAACTGTAACACTGTTCCTGTATTTCCGATATTTTTTCGATTTTCATAAGCAATCCTTACATTTTTATGATATGAAGCCATAGCCCAAGCAATGACTATGGTTGAACTTGCAATAGATGCAGATTGATGAATAACTGAAATCAGTAATATATAGTAATAAATTATTATAATAATGGTCAATTTACTACTTATCATAAGTTACTTATTATAAACTTATACTAGTATTTACAATCATTATGATATATGCATTCAAATATTCAATACTTAAAACTATTCAAATGTGTACTGTGATGTTTCAAACAAAGGCAACAAATATATAGGCACTACCCAATAATTAAATATTTTAGCATACAATTAAATTACAGCTAAATAATTTACTTTTAAGGGTATTTATTTTTAAATAATTAAATTTACATAAAAAAGTTTTAATTAAAAAAAAACATACAATAATATTATTCAATGTAATACAAGGTGCTGCAAAACAAACAGTTTTGAAAGGCTATTAAAAAATGACACAACTTACAGAAATGAGGTTCTTTTTATTTTATTTGCTATATCATGCCGTTTTATACATAAGTTTGGAAAATTACATCAGAAAGATTGATGGCCCTCAACAATGATGAAAGTGATTTCTGAAGTTTTGAGCCGTAATTTGGCACATCTTGAAGAATATAGTCATAGAAGAAATATTCTCTCGAATTTGTGAAGGTGTGAGGCTGATTTTTAAAAATACATTCCTTTAGGTAACTCCATAGGAAGAACTAAAGAAGTCACAAATACTTAAATCAAGTGAGCGCGCAGACCCTCTCCCCTCCTTAGCGAGAGGAGGTGCACAGGAAATATCTGTCATAGTTGAAGACTTTGTTTTCCGAATCAAACAATGGTAACGACTGACAATGCACAACTCGTCCGACGCAAGAGACCCTTTCCAGGTTCCTGTAATCCCAACAACCAAAATATATCTACACAAGGACTATTTAATGCTTAAGAGTTGTAACTAACTACAGTATTACAAAAACCTAATACTAAATGGTAATCATTTTTATTTGAATACAAATAAATCCTAATCCTGGCCTTCAATAACCTTTAAATAAAAATAATAGTTTTTTATAAATTTAAAAATAATATTAATACATAAATTAAAAAAATATTTTCAGTAAAGCCTGGTTATATATGTGTTTTAAACCTTCAACATCTTACAAATTTGGTGTGGACTTATATCTAAAAATGTTACCAACAATCTGGCCCGGATATTATACCGAGAAAATCTCGGTAGGTCGCTCGAAATATGGGCTGGTTATGAGTGTTCAGTGTAATTTTATTTTAATATGATTATGAGAAATTAGTACAAATGAATAGATAATATATTTTAATCAAATTATTAAATCTTACAGTAGCTGTAGTCAAATGTTAGAAATCCTAAAACTCGGTGTGCCGATACCTTGCCTATCCGGCGTTGACAATACTAGGTAATAGGTATCTACTTAAAATTAAAACTACAAATAATAACATTACTTTGAAAAGTAGAACCCTGTTTTTTCTCAGCCAAAACTATAAATATTTGTAATATTTGCTGAGGGACAGCTTCTAAAAAACATTCAAAGATTCGCAACAATGACACGTAGGAGTCTTCTTTAGCCATTAAAGCATAGTAGCTCTTCTGATCACCATAATTTCCTTTACGAGCAGCACTACGAGACTTTAGTGCATATTTCAATACATCATAATACCTACATATAAACAATTATATTACAACATTTACAAGGCATATAAAATATTTTAAAATTAATGGTATTATCATCTCACACAGATAATTGCTATTGTTAACTATAATAACAAAAACGATTTACTTAGAAAGGTAGATAGTAAATACTTACAAATAAGTTCTGTTCAAATATAACTATTCAACAAATTTTTATAAAACAATAAATCAGTGATCTATTATTATAAAGTCTCAAAATTACATACCTAAATACAGGAGCCATTTGAAGTAGCAATAGGAATGGCAATAATAGTCGATTTGTAAGTAATTTTTGGGTAATTCTTTGCACATCTTCTTGAATCGAATAACTTAAAATAAAACCAAAAATCAATAAAATCATTTATTTTTTAGCCCAAGCGCTGTACTCACATTTTTAAACTCATATAAGTGTTTATTACGGAAGGAACTAGTATAAAAATAATTGTCAATACAAAATAATTTAGTTTTTCATATCTGTAATACTGATAGGCGACATTGTAGTCAATGCAAACATCAATGACATGGCTAACAATAGCTAAGATCAATGTTATTAAATCCCAGTAGGAAATACTCAGATCTTTGGGAAGCTCATCCGGCTCATCCAAATCAGATTTAGATCTATTACTATTAACTTTGTGAACCAGATGTTTTGTAGTCCTAATGTCATCTTGATTTTGGTCCATTGTATTGTTTCATTTGATCCGGAAGACTCCAATCATTAAGTTCCAGGCACATCACTATAAGTGAAAAAAATTAAATATTGAAGTATGCATTAGTTAAGTAAATAGTTTGGTATTATATAGTGCTTGGTGCTTATTAGCTACAACTTGGTGCTTATTAGCTACTGCTTAGCACTTACCTGTTAAGTATTTTATATTTTTATATTATATTATAATTATTATTAAAAAGAAAAATTATAAAAATTGAAAAAATGAAAATCGTTTTAATAATGATAACGAACTAGTATATAGAAGTAGTGATAAAGGATTAATGCCAAGACCATGATAGCATAAGGAATAAAAAGTATGCTCATATTTTTTTAAGGGGCAATGTTTTATTTATATTTATATATAATATGCAACAAATACAAATTCAGATACTACATTTTAGAAAAAAAATCTCCAGAAAAAAATCCCCAGAAGCATTATATGGGGGCAATGTCACTAGAAATCACATAATTTAACAGGTGGCAAAGTGAAAACCCCAGAATGTAAAATTGGAAGTACCCACTAAACAGAGGTCTTACTGTCCAAATTAAAATACACATTTTGAATGACGCTTGTCAAGTTAGAGATCGGCATGTAAACTTTCTTGATTTTTAATTTTTAGAAATTTATTAAATGTATGTACCTAATCCGTATGTATTTTATTACAATATAATTAAACCAAATTGAACTAAGGAAATTATTATATGCAAATTAATTTATTGAGAAGATTATAGAAGATTATAGTAGAATATAATAGGTTAAATACAACTGGTTTGAATTTTAGAGGTATAATAAATAAAGTCATTTTGCTTGTTTTATTTATTAAACTTGATAACGAATAGTGTAAATAATATGAATATTTTAAAAACAATTGGCGATATAGAAAGCAAAATATGTAGGAGTCGCTCTGAATAGTGAATAAGGGGGCTAACCATAGATTATTCGATGGAACTCTTGTACATATTTGTGATAAGAAAAGACCATGTTTATAAAGTAAAAACAACAAAATCTTGAAAATTCCTTATCACTCGGTGAGTACATCACTCGACAGCACGGCTATAAATAGTATCTATAGCCGTGCTCGACAGTCGACACTCGGTGACACTCTTAGATAATAAATTATTATTTATCTATGGTGACACTCAAGGTTAATAGCATGACAAATTTAATTTAATTTGTCATGGTTTATAGATTAATTATAGAGTATAATCTATAAACCTTGGGTGACACTAGCATTCGCAGTTGAAAAAGTATGTTGAAACACTTGTACACAGTACACTATGGTGTTAACACCAAGATTTTAAAATAAACAAAGCTATTACATAGACATCACGGACTAAGATATAAAAACAGTTTATTGAAGGGGTTTACAGTATAAATACCTATTGTAAAAATTGTAGAGGAGAATTTTCGTGAGGAACCCGATTTTTGCTATCGTATTTCAATCGTCCAATATCACAACGTGGTAATAACGTACAATAATATCACAAGTTTTTTTTACATGGACACCGCTGCCTCTAAAAAGCCAAACAAACCCAGTCTCACTCAAGGTCGTATGGACTGGGAAGCCTTCAGAACCCAACTCGTTAACCGTATAGATCTCAAAACTAGACTTAAATCACCTCAAGACATAGACGATGCTGTTCACACCCTGACAACGTCAATTCAACAAGCAGCATGGTCCTCCTCCGCTATTCCTAACCCACTCAATAAACCCACCTCTGATCTTCCACATTTTGTCAGAACTCTAATATCGGAAAAAAGAAAAGCACGCGCTGTTTGGCCAAGAACTAAATATCCCTCTGACAAGTGACTATTTAATCACCTCACCAATAAACTCAAAAGAATCTTAGCTAAAATCAAATTCGATAACTTAACAAACCATCTCGCATCCTTTTCCACCACCGACAATTCTCTTTGGCAAAACACTAGGAAAATTTTCCGCTCTCAACTTCCAGTACCCCTTCTGAGAAACCCTGACGGCACATGGCTTATCAGTGACTTAGAAAAAGCTAATGCTTTTCATCATCACTTGCACACAACGTTCCAGCCACATATTGACATCATACCCCCCGACAAAATAGTTGAAATCGACCACTTCCTATCCAGTCCACTACCTCTGACCCTTCCACCAAAACACATCAGACCCAGTGAAGTCAAGTTTATAATCAATAAATCTGCGTGTCATAAAACCCCAGGTTACGACCTCATTACATCAGAAGTCACCTCCCAACTTCCCAGAAAAGCCATCTTATCACTCACGCACATTTACAACTCCATGCTCAGACTCTCATACTTTCCTCTGCTTTGGAAATTCTCGATCATAATTATGATACTCAAACCCGGGAAACAAGCTGACTTTCCCAGCTCGTATAGACCAATAAGCCTTCTACCTTTCTTCTCCAAAGTATTTGAAAAACTGACACTCAAACGCCTACTTCCAATAATTGACACAAACCTCCCAGACAATCAATTCGGATTTCGTAATAACCATTCCACCATATACCAGGTTCATTGCAAAGTTGACAAAATGTCCTATTCACTTTAAAAGAAACTAATCTGCACAGGCGCCTTCTTAGACGTAGCGCAAGCGTTTGACAAGGTATGGCATCACGGCCTCCTCTACAAAATTAAAGTCAATATTTCCTCCCAGCTTCTACTTAATCTTCAAGTCCTAATGTCCTAAGTAGAAGACAGGCATTTGTCCGTACGATATGGCTCAGTTTTATCTGGCATATCATCAATTAAAGATGGAGTACCGCAAGGAGCTGCAGTGGCACCTCTTTTATTCAACCTGTACACATCAGACCAACCCACTACCAACCTTATCACCACTGGTGACTTCGCCGATGATAAAGCCATCCTGGATCTCCACCATGACCCTCTAGAGGCATCCAGTAGAATCCAAACCCACCTCGACATCCTCTCGACATGGTACAAAGAATGGGGGTTCAAACTCAAAGAATCCAAATCCATCCACTGCACATTCACTCTCAGACCAATAAGCTGCTCCTCTATCACACTTAACAACCAACCTCTCCCGACGGTTCAAAATTTCCGTTACCTAGGTTTATACCTAGATCGCCGACTCACGTGGGCTACCCACATACGTAACAAACGACTTGTACTAAATAATCGTCAAAGACAACTTCGCCTCCTCCTGTCATCCAAACATCTCTCACTACATAATAAAATCCTTATGTACAAAGTACTCCTCAAACCTATCTGGTCCTACGGAATTCAACTCTGGGGAGCAGCCAAAGATTCAAACATAAACCGAATCCAAACATTTCAATATAAATGCCTCAGGCAGATAACTAAAGCTCCCTTTTATGTATCAAATGATACCCTCCACAGGGACCTCCTCATTCCGACAATAAAAAACCTCGCCAAAACCCTATATAAACGTTTCCACCTTAAACTTTCAAATCACCGAAACCCTCTCATCCAAATCAATTCTTCTCGAACAACCCCGGGTGACCCTGGCCGACGTTTAAAGCGTAGCTGGTACCGTCGACTAGTTGACTAGTCCTCCATCCCGTCATGAAGTGCTATTAATGAATAGCTTCTTCATCAAGCCAACCATGACCTATATTGTATTATCCCTCCATTTTGTTTATTGTAATTATTTTTATACAGATTGTACAAATAAAACAAATATGACAAAAAAAAAACTATTTTTTCGATTAATTTTTAACTATTGAATTAATTGAAAACATCGAAAATCGTACTTCTTACGAAGTGCTACTCTACAATTTGTATAATAGTTATTTTTACTTTAAACCACTTGAATGAGCCTCGTTACTTACTTGAAGTACGAAACCGTGTTTTTACGCCATATTTATGTTCACGACAACAAAATCAAACACCAAAAAAAGAATAGAATACAGTATAAATCATTGCCAAATTCCGACTCTGTGGTACCAGGGTCGCATGGTTTATACTATTTCACCGTTCTTTTCGAAGATGTCGGCGGCGGCGGCATAGCTGTACAAAAAATTATTATACTCGTTCAACGCCTCCACAGCATACTTCCCTGGTACTTATACTCGGATCGTTCAAGTCTTACAATATTCAATACAAATAATAATAATACAAATTACAAATATTATTATTATAATAATATTAAATTAGGCGTCTATTATTTAAGGGGATCACATTTTACATACATTTTAGACCGATAACTGATAAGCGATGGTAAATTATTATACGTACTTCGGAATGTCCGGTTACAATATTTTATCCAACTTTCTATGCTTTTCAGGAAGTCGATTTGAAAATTTTCAATTTTTAACTGCCTTAAAATTAAGATTTCTTTTTTTAAATCCCATGAAATACCTAAATGGCTAAATGTATTACATTTATTTTACGCACATTTGATTTTAAATCAAAAAAGTTTATTCCTAAAGAGACACATAGTCTAGTATAAATTCAACGATTTTTTCGAAATTACAATCGAACTTCAGGAAGTATGTTTAATTGACTACCGCTCTCCGTAGTTATTACAATTATGCAAACAGGAATATAATAATATTAAGAGATTACATTTGTTGTCTCCGTCTTATACACGCACGACATAGCAAATTGTCCCCAATATTGATTATTTTATGATGACTTGAAATTTAAATAGGCTTTCTTATAGTTCTATCATGAATAATATTATTATATTATAACTATTAGGTAATATAAAATAAATTAAAATATAATATAATATACTTACAAATGTTACGATGAATTAATAATAACAGCAGTCAGCAACAAAAATTGACAATATTGACTGCGCGATAGGTTCGTCGTATGTGTACTAGCGAAGTCGACGGATATAATAAAATGTTTAAAATAGTTAAGCCATAGGGGCGTTGAGTCGTAGAGAAACAAAATAATTCCGGAAAACTGGTAAATAATAAATATAGCCTCGAATTATGAATTTATGATATTCGTTAAAAATAGTTTAGGTATAAAATATAAATGTATAATAATACCGCTTGGGAGGTTTGTGGCAAATAATACAAAGTATTATTAATTATTAGTATTTGATATTTTGGTCACGACTGTCAATACGTTATTCAGTTCTGTTGAAACTATGTCTAAAATATGTATTATTTTATATTACTATAGGCTATATTTGGATTTATTTTATATACAAATAAAGTAATAAATCTATATTAGGTAAAATAAATAATTTAGTATTAGGCGATTAGGTCTTTAATCAGAATCAAATAAGGATTTCATTGGATTTTATTTTTAAGAAAATGATTATTGAATTACAACTAACTAAAGAATCGAACTCGCCACAGGAAATACATATAAAATGATATATCACATGAAGAGTTTGTAAAAATGAAATTATTCGGGTTTCGGGTTAACCCGAATGATTTATTCGGGTTTTGGTTAATACGAGTGTTTTGAAAATAGAATCATTCGGGTTATATAACTTATATGGGTTTCGGGTGTTTGAATTTTTAAGGGTGTTTAGGGGTGTTAGGTGTTCGGGTTAATTCTGGTGCAAAGCCCTGATTTTTAGTTTATAATAATTAACAACATAACTTAAATATGTTTAATACTTATTAATTAAAGGTTTCTACTTATTTTTTTATTATTTTTATTGGAATCATATATTTATTTTGTTTCTATGATTTTTTCGAAGTTGACACCGATTTCATTATTCTGGGTACCTACATTATACTGGGTACCTGCCCAATATTTCACAAATTAGTAGATTTTATTATAAATCGTTTCTGCGTGGCGTGTAAACATTGTAAATTGTATTAAGTCAGTTAAATAATCAATACTCGTATTGTTTTGTTTACCTATATAAATTTACTGTATTACCTATCTTTATCGTCAATACTCAATGGTTATTCGTTATTTAATTGAAAACATTGAACGACTGGGGGGAGGGCCGGAGGGGGGGTGGTAAATGTGTTGACTTAAGGTTGATGTAAATACTAGACTGGGACAAATGCCCCAGCCTCCCCCCCAATTGACGGTTTAGCATAAAAAGAAAAATAATACCTAAAATAAAAACATCAAATTTTTCTTTTTATCATTCATTTTTATTACGCCCCCTAAATTTATAATATTTTAGAAGCCCTAAGGCACTTGCCCCATTTCCCCCCCCCCCTTGAGACGGCTATGATAGTACCCAATTAATACTACCTAGTTACAATAAGTAAAACTAGTTCAACCAAAATATTTAACTGTAATAATTTACCTTTACCGAATTTAGAAAAAATGAGCACAAAACAATTTTAGAGTACAGAATTTAGTAAAAATTAGCACTTAATGAAATGTTAAATGGGTAAATAAAATAAAATAAAAAATGTATGTATTTTTATTCATAATTTTGTATAGTCCAGTAAAGCTACTTCTATATGAGCTATCAAGTATCAAAAATATTTAAGAAATGTGTCATATGATGTTTTTAAAATAAAGTATAAAGTATAAACCTTTGAAGTGAATAAAGAATTGAAGATAAAGTTCTGAAAATCTTCAATGCACTTCTCCTAGCTAATGTGAATCTAACAAGAACCCAAATAACAAAATCCGTTATCCAGTTTCAGAGTTCTTCCTAGCTCAATGAAAATCTATCAAAAAAAATAACTCTTTTTATAACTGTGAAAAATTAAATATATTTTTTTTTTAAATTTTTAATTCAACATTTTGTGTCTATTTGGTAATCCCTTTTTAATGAGCTATTAACCAACTTTCTACCTATCATAGTTTAGGAGTAAAGTTAAAAATTAGAAATTTTTGGACTGTTCATGCCGATGTTTTTATGGATTCAAATTGTTATACCGCTTGGGTGTGCTATCGGATATCTCTCATTAATATCTTATATTAAAGCTAGCTAAATTACCTACCTACTCATTATTACTGAGTTACATTTATACTATTTTAATATTTAGCACAAATTCTTGAAGTTTTCAAAATTCAGATTTTTTTCATTTCAATTACCATACTTCCTTGATTAAAAATCAAGAAAGTAAAACTTAAAAAACTAGAAAATGTCAAATTTCTATTAATAGGTAGTTCAAATGTAATCAAAACATTTTTTAAATTTCATTGACTAGAACATTAAAAATTAAAATATATGCAGGTAATATATTATTTCGACTACAAAATAATTTTCACATTTTTGGATTCTGATGAATTTTATTAATATATAAACTTTAAAGTTTAAATGGGTATAAAAAAATGTATATAATATGTTAGGTAAATGTTTTTTATTTCTAATTAAAATGACTTAATATGAGAAATCTATTTTCGAGCTATTTGACCCAACAAAAATTTTTTTCAACAATATTTTTATAAAAAACCATAATAACAATTTAAAATTTCTATACATTTTGTGAAATGTTAATTAAGAAACCTTGTATTAATCTTTCATATTTTTTCCCTAGGTAAACACTTTTTATAGAAATATAAAAATAAAATTTCAATGGTCAGTTATAAATAGTTTAAAGTCAACTTGTTATTTTCTTGTACGAAAAATGGTTGTTTAAACATTTGGTGAAAATGTAAAGGAATGTTAAGTTTTAGAGTTACTACCTACAAAAAAGGATTTTTTTTTTGTTCCCTCAATTAATTTAAATATTATTAGGAATTTTTCATTTTGACCTTCTAAAAGTAAGTTCAAACTAGCTTCATTTTCCCACAGGAATTATATTGAAGTTGAAAATCAATGACATACTTTTTCTACCACAAGTCTATAAATCATGTATACATGAACATGTACATATACCTAGATGTACACAAAAAAAAACACATCGCATAATGAATACATTATCAGTTCTAGAAAAAAAAACGAACATTTTGAAAGTTTTGTGATTTTAATATGCACCTAATTTTTTTTTCTTAAAACTAATTTTTCAAGTCTTAGGTTATTAGAATATTACATATTATAAATTATAGGTACTAGTAAGTTAACACTTAACAGAATCATTTTATTTTGAAAATATTTTTATTTTGAAATGTATTTGAGTATAATCATAAAACAATTAAATAAAATTATATTAAAAACTATAAAATACATCTTTAATCTTTATAAAACACAAAAAATAATAAAACGAAGTTGCGTATAATATAAATTGTAATCATTTTCACCAACAATTTTCATTATATAATTATTACATTAATTATCTACTTATGAATTTCCAGTTAAGATACCTCTAGCAACTTTGTTGAAATTCCTGTAAAAAAGATTTAAAATTATTTAGTTTGCTTTACACATATATTAAGCATGAATTTCCAATATACATTTTTCATGAAAACAAGTTAAAAATCCAAACTGAATCATTACAATATACAATATTATGGAAAGAATATTTCAATTGTCATGTACAATAATTTAGTAACTAAAAACGATATTATCATTTTTTAAAATTTTTTTTCATTGAACTAATTGAAATTTATCACAAAAATAAAAGTTTAAATCATTACAATCCAAATTTTTTTTCAAACAATTAAATTTTTTATAATTTTATTACTTTTATAGTTGTAATTTTTTTTAGTTTCTCAATTTTTAGAATGACATACCTTTTCATTTCATTTTCCCAATCAGGAAATTTTTCTGACAAGTTTCTTGTATGAAAATCAAATTTTTAATGTGTTTGGTTTTAATTGGTTATAATTTATAATTGTTTGAAGTTTAGATGAGTAGAGTAAAATGGTATAGAGGTGAGATACTCCACAAAATGTTGGTTCACTTTTCAGAATGGTTGTAAAAAAATATTTTTAAAAAGCTTGGATCATTCAGTGTAATATTATATTTTTGGAAATACTTACTCAGATGTAATATAATCTCCAGGTATATAAAACGGATTACACATTAGATCGGTATAAGCTGTATGCAATTTTCGGAACATCTGAAAATCACATGTTTATAGTATTAATAAATAATGCATTAACATTTTGTAATCATTTAATAGAATAAAATATTAAATAATCTAGAAAAATATCCTTAACTCACAAAACGTATTTCATTATCTCTTAGTAACAAGTTGCTAGAATCTATCACAACAAAAAATTTTACTTTAGTATTTGTTACATATCCATATCTAATGATTAATTGTTAAAGAAAATTGACAATGAGAATACACAAAAAATTTATTTAGTGTTTATATATTTTGAAAAATAAAATTTATTCTATAAAAAAAATTTGGATTTTTGGATACCCAACTTAAATTAACAGTGACATTTTCTGATATACCTATTTAAAAAAAAAAATGATTCTAATAGATTATTTTAATTACACATTAGTATAGTAAAAATAATTTGTATGCCAATATTATGCCTTTGATAAAAATATAGTTTAGAACCTGTATTATATGTCTATTTTTTTTTTTTGAAGTCTGTTCAAAAGGCTAAACCTGAAAGTATTTGAAAAAGTTGTTGTTTTTTTACACTGGAAGATGTACCATAATATATTTTATTCTTTTTTAATATTATTTATAGTATATTAAGTAAAATTTAAAAAAAAATCAATTCCCCTGAAAGGAGGTGGGTTAATAATAATGTACCTACTCCTATATTTACAAGTCAATGGCAATGTTTTCTTTAAAAAAAAATAAGTTATGTAAGTATAATATCTTAAATTACATAATTACAATAAAATTAAAATTGAATTGATCCAACATATTAAAAAAAAAAATGGTTGTTTTAAGTTTTGGTGTGAATAAAGATATAACATTTTCAAACATTTTTATACCTATTCAGCACTTTAAATTGGGAAAAACAATTTTAAATGATTAATAACTATGTTTCTTTTGACAGAAAATTTGACAAAGTAAAGGATACACTTTATGATCTTCTGTAGAGTACAATAGTCCTAAGTACAGATCTCGCATGTCCTTTTTACCAGTTTTCAACTTTTCTTCCACAAAGTCAATTGATGAATGTATTTCATATTGAATTTGTAGTTCGTCTTCAGGGTTTAATGAAGTTACATATTTTGGAGCATTCTGAAATGAAACATAATATATTTTATATCAGTGTCTCATTAACTATGTCATGATTATATTTTGAAATTAATTATTGATACTAGTTTTAAATTTTTTATTTAACCTATCCAAGGTATTTTGTTCTAGAATAAGATAGATATTATGTAATCAATAAAGTATTAAATTTTCTCAAACCTTGTAGAAAGAAATCAACTATGTAATTTAAAAAATCATAAGATCTGTGATGCATCAATTATCATTTTGCTTACCTCTTTGCTAACTACCGCTACGCACAACGCCATAATCGATCAGAAATAAAAATACACTTGTAATATCTGTAAGTACATAAGCTAATGCAAGCGGATTATTTTTGTGCTATGACTAGGATTATGAATCAAAAAAGTCGAAAAAAAAAGTTTAAAGTTGGGAAGTACCTATATTATTTACTTTTTAGCGACTAATGATTATTACTTCTCCCATGATAAAATTAATAATAAGCTAATTATAACATGACTTCTCCATAATCTGTGCACAGAAAAGATTAAACTTTAATGATTCTATTATTTTAGTCATTCCTTTACTACGTTCAACACTATACTTATTAGTTATGCTATACCTAGTAGTGCTCAATAAGTTTAATGTTTATTATTTGTGGTAAAGCACCCTTATCTTATTAGTATTATCTTTTATCACAGAACATATATCACGGACTAAAAGATTAGAAACTCGTAGATAAAATATAATAATATTTTTTATTTATTTCTATGACATAATTTGGACATACCTAACAAAATGTATTATAATATGATTAAATTTGTATATTTTATTAAAATACCTATATGAATATGGGTATAAATAAATAATAATAGCCAATAGGTATAAAAAATATCATTGTAAAATTATCGACAATGAAGTATCTATTGTTCCAGGGGGATTTTCGCGCGGGCGCAATCTCTTGTTTTTGTTTTGATAAAGTGTATTATTATTTATTATGTTTTATTACGGGTTCTGGTAATAATATTATAATATAATATTTTGTTCATTAGTTGTTGTTCAGAATACCGATTCTGGAAAGTCGTAACTGAACGTGTAATGTCTGAATTCAGTAGACAGACTATAATAGTCACTAGACACTAGACAGTAGACAGTGGTCGGTAGTTGGTACGCGGAGTAGCAAAAATATGTCTCAAAACTAATCGTCTCGTTGTTCCGCGGGAACGGAAACAAGCAAAATGAAGACAAAAACTCGACGACACACGTATCATACTTTCGCCTCCATCGTACGAAAATGCATAGTCAAGTTTTCAATATATTATTAACTACTCAGTCCAATATAATAACCCTGTCATTATAATATAAACTCTCAGTTTCGAGTTTATTGTGAGTATATTATGCTAGATAAATGTATTTAAATATGAACTTATTATACCCAGCCTATGGACACCTTAACTGAAATAAATACTACCTAATAATTGCTACGTTTGTGTAATAAACATTTTAGTTAGGTACGGTGATTCAGTAATTGGATCACAAACTCTTTACTTTGAACATTTACCACCGATCGTGTACATTTATTAATGCAAATATAAAAGAAAAAGGTTTAAATAAATACTATATTCACATTAAAATTAATATACAAAGTAAATAGTCTTCACTAATAATCTTCCGATGGTTGTTTGACCCAAAATCCGTGTGCTGCATATGATTCATCGTTTTCGATTATGTCGGGTCCCCTGTAGACTTTAATTTGAACTCTTCCTGGTTCGTCTAATAAAATAATAAAACACATTCACTAGGTAATCACTAATATTATTTTTAAATCAATACAAAAAAGATGCTTAATTAGCATAGGTATATAGAAATATTATATTATTGGGGTTGTGTGAGTAAGACATCACTAATATAGGTACAAAATTGAATTTTTAATATTTTAAATTTAATTATATTGAATAATATTTTAATAAATTTAGTTGCACATTTTATACATGCATAAGTAGTTGGTAGGTACATACTTTATACTATAAGTGGTGGCATAAACTATTTTATTCTACTATGTATGCAGTGTTAAAAAATTACTGCATCCTCAGTCTTAGATATATATACCTATAGTTTTGTAATAAGAGGATGTCAGCGTAATCTTTGTTTTCTCTCTCAGACCCACGGGCAACAAAAAAAAAAATTTAGGCTTTCGTTTAAAATGTTATGAGGTTTGAGTGATATTGGAGTAAAATTAACTATTACAAAAATTATAGAGGATAATATAATTTGACTTTCAAAATAAACAAAAAAATGTTGTACATTTAAATGATATTTCAATGGTTTTCAGACAATATTTAGACAAATTGAGAGGTATGTCATACCATCAAAAATATTATACCTACTCCAAGAAAACTTAAAAACCTAAAAAAAAAAATGATTCGGCGTAAATGCTTTTTGGCTATGTTGCGCAGGGGCCAGAGAGAGAAAACAAATACGGTAGTGCGCTGACATCCTTTTAAACATTTATATTCAAACTGAACAAATACTTTTCTAATTTTTACTAATGTGTTAACACAAGACAACCTATTTTTTTTATGTATACAATTTAACCCATCACATTCCTACAGATTATTTTAATTTAAAGTTTAATGAAACTTTTGAAAATGGTACTTAATATTTAATAATAATGTATACTATTTCTAAACCTTGATTCATAAAACAATTTAACAGACCAAATAAAGAAAAAATAAAGAATATTTTTCTCTGAATCTAGAATCGATACATATTTTTTTTTTTTAACATGTTTTAACACTATTTTTTTTATGGTTCTCACTTATAAGTTATAATTTATAATCATACTTACAAACAGCTTTTAAATACAGTCAAACTTGGTTAACTTAAAATCGTAAATATCTCAAACTTTTTCCTGGTTCCAAGAATTTCCTATTATTGTATTATGCTTGGATAACTTGGAACTTTTTGACCGGTCCCTTCAACTTTGAGTTAACCAGGTCCGACTGTATATATTTAAAAATGTCTATTGAACCATACAAACCAATGATCAAATAATTTTCAGCTGCATGTACAAAAGAGTAAACAATTTATTTTAAAAGTATATTTGACAACAAATACCTTCAACTACATTGCTAGACGATCCTTAGTAAGCCAATTAGTCTATTAGCGTCAGAAATCAGAAAACATCTTAATATATAAATAATTATAATATTATTGTAATTATAGATATATTACATTTTTGAATAGAACCCATTGAATCTTCATCAAAGTATTTATGATTGCTATAAATTGGCTCATCTTCTGTGTCTTCGATGCTTTGGGTTGGTTTATAATCATTTTCCCCAAAACTTTTTGTGATTGATACAATTAAAATAATAAAGAACAAAACCTGTAACAAAATATAAAAATATAATTTATCATTTTATACTTTTTTAGTAGTAATTTGTAAGCTTGAAATTATTTTTATTGATGCTAATTGACATTAGTAAAAAAGGGAATTTTCTTTAAAAAAAACTTATAGTAATGTATGTTGTATCAGATATTTTTGTTCAATAAAATTAAATAAATTATAGTTTGTAATATTTACCTCTTTAATGTCCATCATAATAGATCCTATCTAAATGCTAAGTACTCGATTACTAAAATCTATAGTTAAAATGTAGTTAAATTTAAAAAGGAAATTTCTCAGTATGCCTTAGATTCAATGTTTATTAAACCATGAAAACCACAGATGTTATATAGTATACTGCACACCTACCAAATCATAATGGATATTTAGGAACTAATAGAAATTGCAATGTCAAGCATTGTTTTTTATTGTACTTTCCTTTTATACGCTTCATTAACATAATATATTTTTCTAAACAATTTTACTTGTATGCTCAATATTCATATTTTCTCTGATACATGTAGAGTTATTTTATAGCTTGTTTGTTAGGCTGAAACATGTTACATGAGAAACATATAATTTTGTAACATTGAAAGATAACAATAGGTATTTGAGTAGATTAATCCTTTTATTTACTAAAGTTACAGTTTGTTTATGTTAACATAATATAAACACTAATTTATGGAATTTTTCAGAGAATATACCTATATATTTATTATATATATTTTGAAAATGTATTACTTAGTACCTTTGTGGTTATATTTTTTTTATTTATAAAAGAATACTTACAATCCGAGTCAATAGTTAATATGGTTAAATGTATGGTAAAAAGGTAAAATGACATGAGAGTTTGTAATTTTTGATGGTTAAAATGTTTTTGTTTGTAGTTCCTTATAAGAATTAAATAATATTATAATGAGATTATACATTAAAAAAACATGATCTTTGTTTCGTTACCTTTTATTCTTTATTTTTATATATTGCCTACTCTGAAGATTTTGTAGAATTTAGTATATTATACAATAATATTGTCCATACATTATATTTATACATCATCTATGAAATTTTGTTTTTTAATACTTTTAATATATTGGAAAGCCAATTTATTAGTATTTTTTACTCAATGTGAAGTAATTATTTTAAAATAATTAATTTTTTAACAAAACATAAAAATTTACTTTTGTATACCTACTTGAATAAATCAAATTTTCAGATTTAATAAATAAATAAATAGTAGGTAATAAAATATTTGGAGAAAATTATTTTATTTTAGTTTTGCAAAAATCTGACATATTTTTTTGGGGTTAAATATGCATTTTAAATTAACACAATTCTAAGTACAAAATACTTTATTAGATTAGTAAGCAAATTATAAAATGTATTCTACCTTTAGAAACAATTTTTAAATTGCATACTATATGGTTTACAAAAGATAATATGAAGACAGCAGTGTGTATTAATGTGTAATATAAACAATAGTATTAACGAGTATTTTTTTTTATTTACTAATATTGTTGACTCTTTGTAAGATTAGTTTGAGTACAATGTTATTATTTATTAATATTTATTAATTTTATAAATGCATAAAACTAATTTGTTTTAATTATTGACTTGTATATTTCAGTGTTCAATTACTACTCGTATTTTATATTTTTATATATTTTATAATAATTTTGTCTAAAATAAAACAAGCAATTTATTTTTATCATATTATACTGTATTTTTATAATAATTGTGTTGAGTTTAAATGAATAGGCTAATTATTAATTAGATAATATAGTTACACTACCGTTAACAGCATACTATTATTCTAAAGCCTATAAATTATTATTATTATTTACATATACACATATACATTATAAAAATAGGTTATCTACATTTTTATTCTCTTACATGATTCACAATTGCGTTTTAATAAAAAAACAGTAATACTGATTATATAAAGTAAACTTATTCAATAATATTATTAGTTATTGGCCAATGTTTATAAATATTGTACTTCAGTAATAAAAATATAATAATTAATAATGATTTTATAATTTTAGTATTGCCATTAAAAATGAGAATCATAACAAATTTAATATTAAAAAAAAAAACAGCATGGATAATTGAAAGCAGATAGATATGGTATATTCTATAAAAAAATCAAAATGGGTGGTACGTCTACCAAATTCAAAAAACATCTACAGCGAGGGGATGAATACGCTGCTATGCGGGTAAATATTAAACATTTTAATAAACAAAATACTTGTAAACTCCCATAACATTTCAAATTATTTTGATTTTGTAGTTGTATTCAAACTCTCCGGAACTTAAAGCTCTAGACCCCAATTGGAGCTATGGAGATAGTCATAATCATAATACTCTTTTATATTATGCAGCAAAACATGGAATGAAACACTTACTTAGGTAAATTATTGCTCTATTCATTTAATTATTGTTAATCTAATAATAAATATTTATTTATGAATTATAGGGCTTTCTTAAATGAACATAATGGAAATCCAAATAAAAAAAATAACTCTAATGAAACAGCACTTCATGCAGTTTGTTCTCTTTCTCCTCAAAGCCCTTACTCTGCACAAGAACGCCGTGCTGCCTGTGTAACAATATTATTAAACTGGCAAGGAGTAGAATTATCAGATGGAAGGAGAGAGAAAATACGACTGAGTGTTCAAAATAATGTAATTTAACCAAAAATAAATATAATAATCTCAAAATATATTAAAATTAATTATAACTTAATAGGATGGAAACACTGCACTTCATCTTGCAGCGGCTTCAGGTTTACAGTACTGTGTTGATTTAATGCTTTCACACGGTGGAGCCCCAATATTCAAGACTAATAACCAAAAAGAGACTGCTTGTGATTTGGCTGTGAAAAATGGAAATGAGACCTTAGCTCGTAAATTAGAGTCTCGAATGGTTTTTGTAAGTGTTTTGCAATATGCTTATACCTAACAATGATTAAAATATTTAAGGTAGCATCCAAAAATCCGACAATATAAAATAAGAGTAATCTTATATTTAAATCTGTTACATATTTTTAATAAGGGTGAAGACCTGAAAGATATTTTCACTGTTGTGGATGATTATGATTTTGGAGAGGAGGAAACATATGCTGGATTGCGCACACAAGACTTACAAGAAGCAAAAGATCAGCTATTGGTAGAAACAGCTGATATGTTGAATTTGCCATTATTTACTGCTGAAGCTTTGCTTAGGAATAATGGTAAAATTATCATTATCTCTAACTAAAAACATCATATCTGCCTCACTTAAATATTTCTTTAATGTTGTAGAATGGTCTAGAGAGATTTTACTTGAACGATGGGTTCGTGACCCAGACAAGTGTTGTCAAATTGCTGGTGTACAGGTACCCATGTCCGTGCAGTCAACCAAAAAATTTTATTTGAATGGGTTATTACAACAGACAAATTTAAATGAAGAAGCTCAACTTAATGTTAATGATCAAACTATTGTAAGTTATATGAATTTAAAATGTATTTAAATTTAGTGACTAGTAAAATTAGTTGCAGGTTATTAATTATTAAATTATTATTTATTATCATCATATTTTATTATAAATACATAATGTGTATTTTTAATAATCAGATAAATACAATCAGTATCATCTATAACGATGGTCAGGGGACCATAAAAAATACATCGTTATAACCAAATTTGATGTTGTACATAATATAAATAAACATAATTTTGAAATTAACGTTATTATACTCCATATGTCACAACGACTGGCATTGTTATAGATAGTAACGACTGTACTATAAACCGTTTCTATAGAAATTCCCACACTAAATTTATAAATTGATAAACTAAAAGGCGGCAGTCAGGCAATACTCATGCTGCATCAAACTATAAGCCTGTTGTATAGCTCCTGTGCTGCTCACAAACTAGCCGCCTAAGTGTCTAATAAAAATAAAGAAATAGTAGGATGAATTATTTTAATAAAATATTTAGCTTTTATTTAAAAAAAATTATAAACCACTGTGTGACCCTATACTCGGGCCATCGTAAGAGCGCTTCTGGGAATTTGTCCATTCTCACGCATTCCCGTGTATTTGCTGCGGCCACTAGGTGGTAGAGTGGGAGAAATACTCAATCAGTTGGATGCGCAAAGGAGTAGCAGCGCTCTTAGAGTGGCCCGACTATAGTGGTAGTTAAAAAAAAAATAATTTACTTTTTGAGCTAAATTATGTCAGTATTAAATATTAATAGAAAACTCTAAATTTGTAGTTTCATTTATTTGTTATTTGTTATTTGCTATTAACATAATATAACTATATAAGTTTATAATTGAATGTTCATTATATTGTCATATTGACCTAACTTAACTAATTCAAGTAAATTTTTTTATGAACTTCCTCTCTGAAAAATAACCTATATGTATATAGATGATTTTTGTTTGGCTTAGTTCAGTTAATATATTATGATTCAAATATTATATGACCTTTAAACACGTAACTATTTGAACGTGGTACCCACTCCCGACTTACAATGCTCAGTGTACTATGTAAATTATATAAAGTTATGCATTTTAAAATTTACTGAGAATGAGAAACCTATTTCCTTTAAATGCTATAATAGTTAGTTAATATTTTAATTATTTAAAAATAATTATGTATTTTTTCAGTGTGATATTTGTTTGAATGAACTGCCATTATCTGATTGTTCAATTAAATTGTGTTGTGAACATAAGTTTTGTAATTCATGTTGGAAACAATACTTAACATATAAAATTAAAAGAAAAGACTCTAGCAACATCTGTTGCCCAGCTTTACACTGCCATATTTTAGTTCCAACTGAACTTATTGAAAATGTTGTTAGTCCTGAAATGGCTCGGAGATATTTTGATCTTAATATTGAAGTAAATAGGGTCTATAGAAATACATAATAATTATTTTAATTTATAACATTTAACTCTAAATGTGTTTTAGTCTTTTGTTGAAAGTAACCGTTCCATTAAATGGTGTCCTGTTCCAAACTGTGGACTTGCTGTTCGCCTACCAATCAGTAGAAAACCAAAGACTAATTCTAAAATTGCACGTTCAGTTGACTGTGGAAGAGGCCATTATTTTTGTTGGTATGTTTTGAAAGCTTCTATTAGTAATAATTAAACTTTTGATTTTATTTTAAATAATTAGTTTGTATTGTGCTATGTATTTATTATTCAATAGGGAATGTATGGGAGATGCTCATACTCCATGCAGTTGTCAACAATGGTCTCAGTGGATGACTAAAATATCGGAAGTTAAACCAGATAAAATACGAGAGACAACCGCAGAGTATGAAGAAGCAGCTAATAGTTTGTGGTTGGTCACAAATTCAAAACCCTGTCCAAATTGCAACTCGCCTATACAGAAGAATGAAGGCTGTAATCATATGAAATGTTCAAAGGTAAATTTCTTTATTCCTCACTTATAAATTTTACTGAATATAAAACAAATATTCAATTTTTATTTAAGGTAGGTACACTATTTTAGATTTTAATAAAAAGTTACTTTTATATTCCATACACCTTAAGAACATGACCAATTTGTCGTCCAAAACTCTTAACGAAGTATACATATAAAAATAATAAATTTTTAAATTGACCTCAATTTATCTCAACATGTTAGAATTGAATATTACTATTAACACATTAATCTCCATGCGGCCGCCGGCCAAATGTTATGCTTTTGTGACCACCGGCCGCCACAGTTGATCATTACTACCACGTCACATGACCGCCGGCGGCTGTAAATGATTATGGTTTTATATTATTAACTTTTCCATGGCTCTACAATAATGCACCAAAAAAAGCAACGTTTGGTAGAATCATTAAAATTTTTGATGTAATAAATATATTTTTAAAAACCTTTTTATATTTTTAAACTTTTTTCAAATACATAGTATAATATACAAATTTGGAATGACACTGAAAAATATACTTGGGGCGTATCGATGATGCATATCGTGTGACCGCCGGCAGCCGGTGTTAAACAATGTATATTAATGATTTTTTTTTATTATAGTGTAAGTTTGAATTTTGTTGGATATGTCAAGAAAGCTGGAAAAAACATGGTTCAGCTACTGGCGGTTTTTTCCGTTGCAATCGTATGAATGCTGTTTGCAAAGCTGATGAAAAACGTGGTCTTCTTGTAAAAGAAGTAAGTACTAATATATCTTATATAGTACTTAATAAATCTAATCAAATTAAAAAAATACCAACATTCAATATTTAAGTTATCTAACTCACACGATGATTACCAACAATTTTCTTCCACACTTGCTCAATGCAAAACCTTAAGTAGATTTGATCACTCCCAATACTTAATTAATATACAAAAATATTTTAAATCCCAGCCTAAGAAATTTTAGTCTCTTATTCATAATATTAAAAAATTATCTGGTTTACCAAACACAACATCATTTAACCATAAGACAGCTGATAATGGTCAAGAAACTGTTGACTTATTTAGTCAAAACTTCTCTTCAGTATATAAAGATACAGCTCTTACAAATATTAATTTTCAGTTTAATATAACTTAATCTATTGATACTTTAAACTCACTTCATATTGAACTCCTAAAAGTTTTCAATGAATTAGATATTCTATCTTACAAAAGTCAAAAATGCAATTGATCCTGATGGTCTCTCTCCTATATTTTTATTTAACTGCAGATTTATACTTTCACCATCTATCACATATCTCTTTAATGTTTGTTTAAATAGTGGCTCATTTCCATTATCTTGGAAATCCACCTATATTAAACCAATTCTTAAAAAAGGTAATAAATCATTTATCTCAAAACAACATGGATTTCGCAATAATAAATCATGTCTTACTAATTTAATAACTATTGAACATCATATAATAAAATGTAATAAAATCTTTTTCTAATAATCAACAGACAGATGTTGTTTATACTGATTTTGAAAAAGCCTTTGATAGAGTGAACCACGCTTTATTAATCAATAAACTACAGGAAATCGGCTTTGCCAATCCTCTATTATCATGGCTTAACTCTTTCTTAAGTCAAAGAATCCAATTTGTTTAATATAAAAATTTTATATCGACACCTATAAACGTAATTTCTGGAGTTCCTCAAGGCGATCACCTTTTCCCTCTCCTATTTAGTTTATTTATAAAAGATGCTGTATCCTCCATTACACACTCCAACATTTTATTATTTGCCGACGATGCAAAAATTTACTTATCTATTACTTCCCCCGATGATGTTAAACTTCTTCAAAGTGATTTAGCTTCATTTAATGAATGGTGCATTTCAAATAGCCTTTCATTAAATATTGACATATGCCAAATTGTTACTTACTCCAAAGAGCAAAATCTCTTGCATTTTAATTATCATATATGTGACATTAACTTACAATTTTCGTCATTGTTTAAAGATATAGGGATTTTATTTGATTCCAAACTGTTATTCAATGCTCATGTATCAGTGATTAAAAATAAATCTTTAGCTGGTATGATAAAAAGAAACTGTTCCGATTTTTGTGATCCTTATTAGAATACGCTCCATTAATTTGGGACCACAACAATGTAGGACATAATGATCAACTTGAAAAAGTTCAAAATAAAGCTCTCAGATTTATATGTCATACATGTAATATTCAAAGAACTCCTCATACTGGTTACGATAACATTTTAAAATTGTTAAACTTAGAATTTTTAAATGTATGTAAGACACTTATCATACAACACCTTCCTCACCCAATTACTGAATAACGAGATTGATGATTCATTTTTATTAAGCCAATTAAATTTCAAAGTCAAAAACCACTACACTCGCTACAATCATTTATTTTATATTCCTCATTCATCTAAAAAATATACGTCATACTACCCATAAATATTTTTATGTCTTCGGGAAATAGTAAATTATTTTAATACACATTGAATGTATTTTTATTATTATTATTAATATTATTATAATCATTATTATTAATATTACTATTATTCTATATTTTAATCTTTTAATATTTTATTATGTTATATTTTTATTTTAAATTATATTATTTTATTGTTATCTATACAAATATATTGAGAATTGGCCTTTTGTATTAATAAATAAATAAAATAAAATAAAAATATAAAAGTATTACTTCAATAAATGTATTCTGATTTTATTTTTTTATTTAAATAGAATAGAATAAAAAAATTTGTATTAATATCTAAAACAATAATAAAATACAAGCAAATTTCTTAAACTTAACAATCAAAGTAATAATAAGTTTTGTATAGTTGACATTACGGGCTATATTGGTGAAACACATCAAACAATGTTTAGGAGAATCATAAAGGTAGTTAGTGGCAGATTAAAGTATATAAAGGGAGCGGAATTTCTCAGTCAACTGGTAGATACTATAAAGTTGATACCTGCACACAGGTGTACCTAGAGAGGGTCAGTGTAAATATTAGCCTCCCACATTTATTGTTGTTTATTTCGTTCAAGTAAATAATATAATGTATTATGCTTATCATATTCAACTTTACATGGCGAATGATATAATACCTACTATTATTATCACTTCTATAATTATTTATCACAATAGTGTTTCACATCACAGCATATAATAAATAATATAATTTTAGATTCTGAGCAGAGCGAGTTGGTACATTTTAGAGACAACAGTTATTTAAAATTCCGAATAGTTTCTTAATAATAATCGAGAAAAATTAAGGAAAATAGGAATATGCAATATTAATTTTTGACAATATCAAAATACAAGTAACCATAGATACTACGGTTACATATACTGTAACGAAAACAGCATAAGTTACTTGGTTAAATGCCTTTAAGAAATCAACTTATATTACATCACATTGTTCTTGACGACAAAATACATTCATTATATAATTCAAAAATACTATATTACAAGTAGTTGGGACCAGAAAAGAAACCATGTTGCTAAAATAAAAATCCATAAAACCGATATATGCATGCCAAAATATTCACTATAAATAACTTATAATTGAAAATAAATTTTTAATACTTTTAATTTTTTTGTAATAATTGTAATTATTATCCATAGGCTCAACAAAAGAATAAGCAAAGTTTGGAATTAAGTAAATTTCTTCATTATTATACTAAATTTAAAAAACATGAAGTGACTCGCACAATGGAAGAACTGTTTGTAGAAATTGTCAAAAATTGGAGAATAGCTCTTTCAGCTGCCTTAAATATATCTGAAGGTATCTATTCTTATATTCTATACAGCCTTTTCTATAAAATAATCACTTTCAATTCTGATTTATTATAGATGACGAGCGTACAAAATTTGTAGAAGATGCAGTTGTTGAAGTGCAGAAAGCCAAACGTGTTCTGTGTGCATCATATGTGTATGGGTTTTATATGCTATATAGTGCATATAATAGAAATATTTTAGAGTTTATGCAGGTAAAATTTTAAAAATGTTTATTATTAATTAATTGGTTTAAAAGTTGAAATTAATTAACTTGATATAAATGTAATAATTTGATAAAATAGATTATATTTTATATCATTTAAAATTATCGGATTTTCAACTTCCTTATATTTTATGAATCCAATTTATGTCTTAGAATGAAGTAGAGGAAGTTACTGAAAAGTTATCAGGAATGGTTTTAAGACAATATTTATGTAATCCAAGAAGTGCCATTATTAATACTACTAGTATATTAAGACGAAAACGCCATGAATTTATTAATGCCATATCAGATGGATCTATATCTTTAAAAAGCATGCCTTCTATTCCACCGAATGTTACCAAACCAAAATCAACCACCATGTCTCAAAAGCATATAAATGCTACTGCTAAAGTGAGTGTAAAAATTCTGGAAACTTAGATTAAATAAATAAACAAAACAATTTTTAGGATTTATTAAAGAAAGCAATTGGAGATTCAATTCAAATCGATCCAGATAATCCGTGGATTGTAGATTCAAAAGGAAGACATCGTAACCTTACTGCTATATTAGATTGGCCTGAAAGTTGTTCAGATGAAGAAGAGGTTAATAAATTTAAATTACTATAAGTTTGGTTTTACATTACATTTGATTATTTTTAATTATTAAAACAAGGAAACTGAATTGGATCGAGCTCTAGCTGTTAGTGTGTTTGGCCAGTGTAAAATGGAGCACTGTAAAAAAGCAAGAGTGAGGAATCCTAGAACATCAAAATTTCATGAATACTGTAGCTTAAGGTGCAAAAATACTCACAAAACTTTGTTAGAAGAGCGTAAGTTAAATAAATATACTTACTAGCTAGTTGAACGTAATAATAATAACAATAATTTTGAATTAAGCTATTTTTTATTTAAGAGGACGCCACACAGACATTGGTTGTCTCCGTCCTAAAAGTGTGTAACATAGCAAATTTACTATAGGCAGATAACGTTTAGCTATGTTAGTTTAAAAATTAGAGTGAATTGACCTAGAACCGGAGGGGGGGGGGGGGGGTTAGAATTTGGTAAGAACATTATCTGTGCTTGTATGGAGGTTTGACGATAATTCAGTTTTTTGGCAAGTTATGCGTATATAATATAGTGTAACAAATGCTCATAACTCACTTAAAAACTGTATAATTGTACAAAACCAACATACACAGATAAAGTTCTCATAATAGGCCGATTCACTCTAATTTTTAAACTTACAGAGCTAAACGTTATCTGCTGAGCGTAAATTTGATATGTTACGCACTTGTAAGACAAATATAGCAAATGTTCGTGTGGCGTCCTCTTAATTATTACTTACATTTTAATTATTTTTATAGGAAAAAAGGAAAAGCGCACCAGTATTGTTGGTACTTTTGCAATGGATCTTATTGTTGCACTTGAAATGTCTAGACTTCAAATGATAAAAGATGCTCAACTAAAGAAAAAGTACATTATCATTTTTTTTTAATTAATATAATTTATTATAATTTATAAGTATTGTTAACACTAATATTTGTTTTTAGGTCAGAGATCGAAGAAGCAAGTTGTAGCAAAAATTATTCAGGTGATTACTAATTTTAACATATGGTTTTATTGAAAAAAAACAATTCATTATTTATATTTTTAGAAGTTGTTGAAGATTCAAATGACGATGACCAGCAATTGCAAATGGCTTTACAGATGTCTTTAGATGAAATTGCAATGGCTAAATCCAGAAATGTATCAAAGACTACAAACGACAATGAAACAATTTTACTTACTAAAAATATTCCTGAGAATACTATTTTAAAAACAGATATTCCTCTTATCTTACCCAAGTAATACATTTGTTTGTTAATTATACTCGATTGATGTGTACAAAATTATACATTATTTAATTAAAATATTTTTTTTTCCAGATGTAGTGGTATAAAACTTGATGATGGTGTGTTTAAAGTAGGTGATTTACACAAAAACAGTTATTATTTAGATTTTAGTGAAGACATATACAGTCGTATGGAAAATAAAAATCTTAGGCGATCATTGTCTTTTGGTGATCTACTCTCACGTAGAGATTTGTACAAAAATAATCGAAGGTTTGTTTGTTGTGTGCAGTTAGTTTTGCAAACAAGTGGTTTATAACTTGATTTCTTTGCTTAGATACTGTGTTAATGTGTATCATATGAACAGTGATGATAGACAAGATAAAATAGATAGAAAACGTGGAAAACTGAATCACGGCTTTCAAGTATTGCCTAGAAGAACTGCTTCCATTCTCATGGAAATTAACAACAATGGTGAATGTCGTGCAGTCACATCATTGGATGACAGCAATATTGCCGCTCCTATAAGTTCAGACAAAAAAGTATGTATAACATGATTATTTTTGTTGAACATTTCACTAATATTGTTTATTTTCCGTAGCTGTGCAATATCTTGGCTCAACTGTATTGGCAAAACTCATCTAAACCATCTAGCGTTACATTGCCCAAACGTTTAAGTAAAATAGGAAAAACCGCTGCTCTGGATACATCAGATGAAACATTAGAGAATGAATCAAAAACTCCTGATGAACAACCTATCAAGCCTGAACTTAACATTAGAATTGAAAAGTTCAGCAGTCATTCTGAAGACAGTGCCGATAATGATATATCCGCTGACATAGAATCAGATACAGGTATCCCAAAGTCACCAACACTCTTCATATCTGGTGTATCTATAAATCGTACCCCAGAAACAAAGTCACCAGTATCAGGTCGTCAACTGAGGTCAGCAAGCTTAACAGTACCAAAGTTTATGTTAAAGCCACTTTACAAAGGTACATCGGCTGACAATTTAACTTCTTGCAAAGAATGCAACGTTGTCCATACAAATAAAGCGCATTCTTATCAAACTTTGTTTAGTGAAGATAGGATGTGTGCTTCAGCTAATATGGCTGACAAAAGTAGATGTGTGTTTACATTTCCAAAATCAATGACTGACGGTGAGTTATTTTCAACATTACATATCGATAGAAACAAGTTAAGCTCAGATGATTTTCATGAAGCTTTATTCCTTAAGAGACGGAAACACGAACAACATTAAATGCCATATTTATAATTTATGTAGGTACATTATAATAATTAATATTATGTTTATATACAAGTCTCTCTAAAGGCTATTTCTTTTCTTTGGTATTTAATAAATCTACCAATTATTCGTAAGTATTCCTTATATATATATTAATTTGAATTAAGTTGATTTATTCTGTTTTGCATTTTTACTAAGCAAAGGTTTTTCGACTTAATCTCCATACAACTTCTTATTATACAAGATACAACACTAAAATTTTTCTGAAGACTTAAATTTTCTAGTCTATCCAATATAAAAAAAAAGTAGTTTTTAAGAAGAAAATATGCCAAAAAATCTACTCTTTTTTTTCATACCTAATAGTTATTAACGGTTCCTAAATGGGTTGCAAAATATTTTGTAGTTTAATTTTAGATTTTATACCAAGTTTAAATCATCCTTTTTTAAATTTAATTTAGTATAATTATTGATCAAATTTAACATAGTTCAATGAATTAAATACTTTTGTTTAGTTGGTTGTTATCATATCTAAAATAGTTATTATATTCTTGTATAATTTTATATACATAAGAAAAGTACTTACAAATTTGTAAACATCATAGATTTTTTTAGTAAGTACCTATTCCATAACTCCTTTAAAAGAAAAAAATGTCATGTAATCAAATTTGAGTTTTAAATGTTCAATTTTTATTATTTATTTATTTTTTAGTTTTATATGTGTTAAATAAGTTTTTGCAACCCTCCCCCTAATCTTAATGCCATTGTAATAAAGTCTGAAAATATTTATAGTAAATATATACTTACAATTTTTTGAACAATTATTTTAATTTTGCCATACAAATGTATTTAATAAATATACTTAAATTTTACTATTCCCCAATCGCAAAATTGTCATTTTTGAACGAGCAATCTGGTTGTATCAATTAAAAAGTAAAATTATAAGTAAATCTTTGTCATATTATTTTTTGATCCCTGATTATGGATATTGTAAAATTGACTTACATAATATAATATGTTCAATATAATTGTTACGAACAACCGTCTCATAAACACTAGAAGTTGAAAAATAAATAATTTTATGCCTGTGATATAATCACTAAGATTATATCATACGGTTGTTTTTAATATTCGATCTTATACTTTTAATAAATTTTTAGTAACATTGTGTTTAGTTTATTGTTGACATGTTTGAATGTTAAAATGTTAAATCATATTTTATTTAACTCTACTGGGTGATTCTTTTATCAAACAACACTCATTATTTCAAAAAGTGTAAATTTTTTGAAGATATTTTTTACATAGTTTCAAGTCGCTTATAAAACAACGTTTTTACTAAAAAATTATATTTTTAATTATTTTTTATCCTTATAATTTTTTAAGTTTTTTACTTTTTTGAATGACAACATAGGGTTTTAATTTTATATTCTAAAGTAGAATATTTTTCTTAGTATTTTGATACATGAAAATTGAATTTGGGGCGAGTAGTTTATGAGTTATAAGTATTTAAAGTTTAGACGAGCGGTGAAGTGGACAAACATTTCGCGGGGTAACCCCGAACCACTCCACTCCGCTCGTCTAAACTTTAAATACTTATAACTCATAAACTACTCGCCCCAAATTCAATTTTCATGTATCAAAATACTAAGAAAAATATTCTACTTTAGAATATAAAATTAAAACCCTATGTTGTCATTCAAAAAAGTAAAAAACTTAAAAAATTATAAGGATAAAAAATAATTAAAAATATAATTTTTTAGTAAAAACGTTGTTTTATAAGCGACTTGAAACTAAGTAAAAAAATATCTTCAAAAAAATTTACACTTTTTGAAATAATGAGTGTTGTTTGATAAAAGAATCACCCAGTATATGTTTAAAGTATTCGAGTATATTTTTAAATACATTTATGTTGTATGAAATTGTTCGGTCAAGATTTCTAAATCTTTTAGTTATAATTATTATTTATAAGATGTGATATACTATATAGGTACACTTTTAATCACCAAACTAAATAGGATTTTCCTTTGTAGCCTTATTTGGTTTCAAAATAATATATTATTTGTATTTGTAGTTAAGTTTAAAAAAAGAATCTAATCATCGTTTATTATTTAGACAACATGATTGTGCCAAGAATTGCTATAAAATAAGCCATGGTGTGTAGAATATATTTCTTCGGTTGGTTATTGTCAAAATTACCAATTAATTTTTTTTTTACATTACAATAATCCTAACTCTAATCAATGATTCTATCAGTTAAGTTGGGTCAATTTTTTATATGTTTATAATAATAATAAATTAATTAAGAACCTCTTATTAAATGAACAGTTAAATTTGATTTTATGACAATATATTCTATTGCAGAGGTTTTCAACCTTTATAGCTCTTCCGATTTTGAAAACAATTTAAACAACTCCCATACCAATAATGATAATAATAAAATAAACAAATTTACATTATTTAGTGTGAACACGGTTCCTCCCCTAATAATAATGGAAACCTATGTTCTAATGTATAAACAATGACAAAAAATGTACTTAATTATTTGTAAATATATTATTTTATATGAATTGTATCGTTTGATTTGGCCATACAAACATAGCGCTACTACGGAGTTATATTATATTATAATAATTGTTCATTACCTGCATTTTATTTATATTGTCATTTTTTTTTTTTTTTTTTCAAAATTGTTTCTGTGTAAGTGTGTATAAAGGTGTTATTTTAAAAATAATAAAAACCTTTTGGATTTTAAAATTAAAATGTATTTATTTTTAATAAAATAATGATAAACTCTAACTATTATTAGAAAGTCAGTCAATTTTTCTAACAATTGATTGGTTGCTTAAACGACAATAGATTTGAACCACTCTGATAGTAAAATGTTGAGAAAAATTCTCTGCACAAATTTTCCGCCGACATAATATCATCGTTATTGAAACCAGCTGTCAACACAAAGATAATTATTAAAGATTAACAAACAATTAAAATTGCTATGAACAGGACCCTAACCTTTAGATAGTTTTCTCTACAACCTCTCATTGTTTATAGTGTTTATCGGCTTAACTCTGATAGTGTTGAAGGGGTAATACGGTTGTTCAACAATTTCAGCCTGTATTTTTTCTTTTTCATTGAGCATCTAAAAAAAGAAACAACGGTCATTGATTAATATATTAAACATACATATTTAATATACATTACAACGTCACATTGATTATTAAATGTATTGTGTATATTATTGACTATTGTGACTTACCTCGTCCAAGTCGATGATTGGATCACATGTGTCGTTAATGTACACAGTTTCCTCCTTGTGTTTGACAATGTGTTGCATGTATATATCTTTTCGAATGGTCTTGAAATTGCACATGTTACAGCTATATAGGAAACCGTCATCCATTCCTTTGCCGGTATAACATAAAATATATTATTAATTATCATTATAACTAATATAATTCAACCCAACTATTTTCTTTTTTATAGGCCAACTACTATGAAGCAAAATAATCACTTGATGCCTAAATTTAAAATAGCATGTTACACATTTATTCCCATTGGGTGACTGGGTGTAAACATAGGCGGAAATCCATTAAAATTTCAAGGGGGCTAACATTATTAACATCAATGTGAGCAATCCTACAAAACTAAAAAGTAGGGGGCTTGACAGACTTTGGCCCCCTCAAGGCCTCCCCCCCCCCCGATTTCTGCCAATTGCATTAATAAGAATGAAAAAAATAATAAACAACCCCTAATAATGATGAAACAAAAAAAATACCTATGTATTATAATTTATTATCTTTGGAAAAATGGGAGTACAGCAGCCAAGAAGCCCCAACAGTTCAAATTATAATTGATAATTATTAAGTTGTTCTCTAATTTTTCAATCAACTACCTACTCATCATTTATTTTTTTGACGAGTCTTAAACATAGGTAGTAGGTTCACAAAAATAAAAATATTATTTTGGCATGTATAGGTAAAACACGGATGAGGAGTCAGTGTCGGATACAAGTGGAGCGAAGGGGCGTTCGCCTCCCACTTTGGCCAGTATTTTTATAATTATAATATTTGGCTAAAAAAAGGAAATTTAATTTTTAAAAATTCGCCCCCCCCCCCTCCTTGGACCTTGGATGAATTCTGGATCCGCTATTGCGAGGGGAAGAGTACACCGTATGTATAGATGACATAATAGGACCGTTTTTATCGTGAAATTTTGTTTTAAGATTAACGACCGACCCATCGTACGATACAACGATACAACGCCGAGGGGCAACCCCCCCCCCTCACACACACACCCAAATCGTGTGAAATATATCGTATTCAGGTATACCGTACCCGGGTGTTTGGACTTGAGGTGATTCTTGTAGGAACAGGCCTGTATGCACGAGTAGTCGCACAACGGGCACGTGTAGTTCTTCCGGCCGGTGTGCCGCATCTTGTGCTTGCGCAGGGTGTTGTGGTCAGCGGTCCGGAAGACGCACTCGTCGCACGCGAACGGCTTCTCGCCGGTGTGCAACCGCTGGTGGAGCTTCAGCGAGCTGGCCACGTTGGTCGCGTACCCGCAGGTGTCGCAAGTTAACGGCCGCATCCCGACGTGCACGTTGGCAATGTGCTGGTGCAACAAGTACTTGGTGCTGAAGTCGCGGCAACAGTGCTGGCACACCAGCTCGGCCTTTGGCAACGACCTCTCGTTTTTCACGTGGATCGCCTGCAGGAAGACGACAGTGTATAATATTTAAATGTCATTAAATTATGGCAATTATCATGTAGGTACCGATTTAAAGGAAATTGTTCTTAAAATGTATATGAGGAATTCATTAGTTATAAATAATAATATTCCTTTAGTTTAACGTAAATATCTTAAAAACAAGGAGGGTAGGTACCAGGATTACATTAATGGTACAACATAGGCGCGTATACAGGGGGGTTTTGTGGGTTCAAACCTCCCTCCCCCTACCGAAAATTAATAGTTGTGTAATTTATTTATATATGTAGATTGTAGTCTATTATAGACTATGAACTTTCCCCCCCAATTTTTTTTTCTGTGTACTTCATTATTTTAAATCAACTTATCTTCTAATTAAGTTATCGTTTTTTATTTTAAATACAAGAACAACATCATTGGTTTTATTCCATCATTTTAACAATTCCAGTAAAATAAAATAAAATTAATGCAATTTTGATTTAACTTAATGAAATTGTAAATCATTCGTCCAATGAATAGTTGGTGTTTATTCCAATGAATAATTAATATCATAGGCTCGAAATCATATCCAATTTTCTTTAATTTAATATACATTTTTCAAATATATAAAATATTTCTCTGAGTGATGTGATAGAATATTAGAATATTATTATTGTCAGGCGAGGATCCATAGGGGGTGCTAAGGTGCTTTAGCACCCCCCTTGGCATGTTTCTAAATGTTTCTTGCCGGAAAACAAATTCTCTACACAACATGTATATTGTATATACTATATGAGCATGCTTTTACTTTATAGTGAATTATTCCCGTATCGGTTGGATTTGATCTGAATCTAAATTTGAGATGCTAAACCATAAATTTCTTATACACTTATAAGTTATAATAATTACTTATGTGTCTATAATATAGCATGTAAATATATTAATATTATGCACAGACTATACGTCTATACTATTGTTCTGTGATACTTCTTATGTACTATATGTATATAAAAATCTGTGATATTCTAAAAATTCGCTAAACTAGACTGAAATGATCCCACATTATCTCGCACTGGACCATGTAAATACTAAATGATATGGTCCAAACATCTCGGTGCATTATTTTTCACACCGGTTTCGTCCAGCAAACTTCTAGATTATCATAGACATATAGGAACATTATTATAGACATCTATAAGTCTATGGATATTATACTATTTTCATAGACCTTATATTATACATATGTCATATACTGATTAATAATTTCCGATCTTTTGCAAGAAAACAAATAATTATAACTACGCCACTTTAGTAGATAATATATTATGGACATAGTATATTATATACGTATATTGTCATACATATTAGTACGTACCTTGTGGTTCCTGAGCTGTTTGATCGATTTAAATCCTTTCTTACACACCGGACACAGAAACGGTTTCTCTTGATTGTGAATGTTTTTATGAAATGTGTTCAATTTGTACAGACTGGAAATGCATGAATTTCAATAATTTAATATTTATGTCTGGGGTGACAACAGCACATAATTAATAATATAAAAAATATACCACACGTATAATATAAGGCACATACCTATAAGAAATTAGTTAATATTAAATAACCACCAAAAAAATTGTAATGTAATAAATAATAATTAAATAATAAATACGGTACGACGTAAAATGTAGGTGTAGGTGGATCCTACCATTGATTTAGATTATTTTTTTCAAAAAAAGAACATAAGGGTTGTAGTCACTTCCTGCCGTATGGCTGAACAATCAACACATGTTTTTTGCGACGCTCTTGCGATATTACGTATAAAGTTAACTTAAAACAAATAAACAATTTTTCAACTGGTACTCCCGCATTCGTGAGATCACGCATGCGGAAGCGATTCTGTGAGTATTACAGCCCGATAGGGCACCCCGCCCTCAAAAATCCCTATAAACACTGCTCTTAATTATTCCCACTAATTACCATCGAAATGAAGTGAACAAGTCACCATTGCCAAAAAAAAAAACCGATAAACAAAAACCATTAGTGTCTCCGATAACAATAATCAACCAAAACTCTATATTACCGAACGCCAGGCCATCCACAAATATCAACACTGCCAGTAATGATGATAACATTTTCGACTGGTCAAAAAAGACAGACAAGAGAAAAAATAAACCAAATTCTCCAACGGGTACCTCTCCAAAACTTAAGCATTCAAACACTACGTATACTTCTAAAAATAAATTCTCTCCACTTGCTACAAGTGATGACGACGATCAGATGGATACTGACAACACAGCAAATTTACCGCAGGCAAGAGTCCCATTTCCACCACCTATATTTATCAAAACCGATATAATACAGTTTAATCTTTTCTGCGAATCCATTAAACAGCTGACGTAAGCTGATGGTTTTCTATGCAAATCTTCCGTAAATGGGTTAAAACGAAATATATAACTAAATACATATACAACCAATTCATATCGCAAAACTGTAAAATTCCTGAAAGAATAAAAGTGAACTTTCACACATATCAACTCAAATACGAAAAATCATACAGAGTGGTAATAAGACACCTCCATCATTCTACGCCTGTCGACACTATTAAAGAGGAATCAAATTCCAAAGGTTTCACTGTCAGAAACATCACTAACGTGTTACATAGTCAAACTAAAAATCCTCTCCCACTCCTTTTCGTTGACTTAGAGCCTTCACCAACAAACAAAGACATTTTTGCAATAGACACACTGTACTACACAAAAATAAAAATATAGGAGCCCCGCCCCAGACACTAGGTAAAAATTTCATTGCAGGTGGTGACTTTAATTCCAAACACCCATTATGGGGATGTCGTTTCACCTCTCCAAGAGGTAAAATTCTACACAAAACAATTACCGATCACAAATGGTCACATCTCGCACCTACTGGTCTGACATACTGGCCTACCCATACCAATAAGCATCCAGATATTCTGGACTTCTTCGTATATTCCACCCCCAGTAACTTATTTCTTGCTATATTTAACATCACGGATCTCTCTTCTGATCATACCCCAGTCAAGTTAGTCATTGGAGGTGAAACAAACAAAATCCCAATAAGATCTTCCCTAACTCCAGGTCCAATAAACTGGACCCACTACAAAAAATACTTAAGCAATAATACAAAATTAGGCATACCTCTTAAAACTGCCCAAGACCTCGAGCAAGCTTCTGTTTCCTTTGTAGAAATGATATAATCTGCTGCCAAAAAATCCTCGTGTACAAGTAGCAACTACTCCACCACCTTGAACACTATCCTGGATAAATATCCACTCCCGGACCACATCAATGAACTATTAAGACAAAAAAAAAAGCTCGTGCTAAATGGCAAATCGCAGGTTACCCCAATGACAAGAGGATCTTCAATAACCTAACCAACAAACTTAAAAGGAAACTCCAAAATCACAAAATTCAATCCTACGATAGTTACATTTCTAACCTAAGCCCAACAAATGGGTCGCTTTGGAAAGCAACCAAAAAAATCGTTAAACACATCGAATCCACTCCTCCACTCCGTCGCTCCGATAACTCTAAAATCACTGACGACGTTGAAAAGTCTAACGTTTTTGCCGAACACCTTGCTACAGTATTCAAACCAAATATTATCCAAACAAATCTCCAGCACTCTGCCAGAGTATATGAGTTTCTAGATAGCCCAATTCCAGTTTCTATGCCTGCCAAACCCACTACCCCAAATGAAGTACTTTTCTATATAAAACATTTAAAAAACGGTAAGGCACCCGGTCATGATCTCATAACTGCTCCACTTTTAAAACAACTACCACCCAAAACAATAATCCTACTATCGTATATATTCAATTCTATATTCAGCCATTCTTACATGCCATCTATTTGGAAACATGCTCAAATAATACTCATTCATAAACCAGGCAAACCTCCCGAAAACCCTTCCTCTTACCGACCTATAAGCCTTCTGTTTGTCGTAGGTAAACTATTTGAAAAACTACTCCTGAAAAGAATTTCGAAAATTGCCACAGATAACAAAATTATACCTGATTTCCAATTCGGATTCAAATCTAAACACTCCACAATCCACCAACTACACAGAGTCGTCGATCAAATTTCATTAGCATTCGAGAGCAAAAAAGTCTGCATTGGTATTTTTTTAGATATCGCACAGGCTTTTGACAGAGTTTGGCACCCTGCTAATAAAATCTCATCTAAACCAAAGAACATTTGTCACAAAAATTAATGGCCCCCTTTCAAACACTCAAATAGCTACTGCTGGTGTCCCCCAAGGCAGCGACATAGCCCCCTTCCTATCCAATGTCTTTACCCACGAAAAAAACTCTACTTGGTACATTTGCAGATGACACTGCTATTCTTGCTATCGACAAAGATCACATACAAGCTGTCCAAAAAATCCAAAATCACCTAACTGTGCTTAACACCTAGTTCCACGACTGGAAAATTGAAGTCAATCCATCAAAATCCTCTCATATTACTTTCAAGCTTCGATCCTTGGAAAGCCCTGCAACCTTTATCGGTGATGCACAAATCCCATCTTCCATACAAACAAAATATCTGGGTTTAATTCTAGACAAACGTCTTACATGGGGTCCCCACTTAAAAAACAAGCATAAAGCTCTCAATTCGAGACTTCACCTTCTTAGACCATTACTCCGCTCAAAGCTCTCATTAAAAACCAAAAGAACAATCTATATGGCTCTTCTAAGACCCATGTGGTGGTACGATGGCATTCAACTTTGGGGTTCTGCCAAACCATCAAACACCAGAACAATTCAGGCATTCCAGTCTATTTGTCTTCGATTAATATCAGGTGCCCCCTGATATATATAACTAATGAATCACTTCATAAAGACATCTGCATTCCAACCTTAAATAATCTTGCTATGATCAGCTACAAAAAAACTCACAAAACATTCAGCACTCATTCAAATCCTATAATCACTCAACTATCATCCAAACAAATCCCAGGTAATCCACCCAGGTACCTGAAAAGGAACTGGTGTGGACCTACTCTCTCCTTAAATCGATTTCCATGGGGGTCACCAATGGGTGACTTCCCCCCTCCCTCAAAATCATAGTCATCTAATTTACAAATTGTAATATAATTTATGTAATTACAGATTGTATATAAAAATTTTGTTCAATAGTAAAAAAAAAAAACAAAAAATGGTTATAGTCAATGAAAAAAATGGCTTTTAGATGAAAAAGTCAGACAAAACTGAAGGCATTTGGTTTGATGGAATTGAAATGATTATGATTAACAAGTTTACTAGGTTACTACTAACCATTTTTGATATTCCAAATATTATTAGTGTCATGATATACAATTAAAAAATAACATATTTTTATTCATACAGATGTTATTACGGCAGAAAAAATAGATATTCAAAATCGCCTCTATAATAACATAGTAAACTTGTAAATCAATTGAAATCCGTCAAACCTACAGTTTTTTCTGGATTTTGGTCTAATAAAAGCCCCCTTTTTTCATCAATAAAATAATAATTTATTTTTTTTCATTGATTAAAATACAATCGGTAAATTAATTTTTACAATAAGTATTGGAAGCTTGCTTATAGGTATCGTCGGATAGCGTGAACAGAGAAACCATCCATTGATGATACTCCTTTTGTTCTGAGATACGTACGCCTAAATACTTAAGGAGACGTTGCAGTGACATTTGTTGTCTCTGTCTTACAAGTGCGTAACATGGCAACTTTTACGCACAGCAGAACACATTTATCTCCGTTAGTTTGAAAATTGGAGCGAATTAAGCTCTTATAACATTTAAAGGTAAGACTATTTTATCTAGACAATGACATAGGCTTTTTATTATATTTTAATTTTAAAGCGAGTTATGAGTATTTTAAAATTGTAAACTGTTTGTACATCTTATAATACTCATACTCGCTTTAAAATTAAAACATAATAAAAAGCCTATGTCATTGTCTAGATAATAATCTTACCTTTAAATTTTATAAGAGCTCAATTCGCCCTAATTTTTAAAGTAACAGAGATAAACGTGTTCTGCTGAGCGTACAATTTGATATATTATAAGACGGAGTCAACAAATGTTACTATAACGTCCAATTAACAGTTAACTTAATACCTAACTAACTACCTAAATATTATGGTATTGTAAGTCCTACATTAACCCCCCCCCCCCACACCAGTTAATTCTATATGATTTTAGGTTATAATATGAAGGTTTTAAATTGGCATTATATTATATTATTGTATGATAAATAATTTATATTTTTAAAATCAATTAATTTAATAGAACAAATATAATGTAAATGTAAATATAAATATAATTATGTAACAAAAGTATCACAAAAAAAAAACTGTAACTAATGGCCTATGATGCCAGGTTGTAAAATAAATAGAATAAAAAAAAAAAAAAAATTTATTTTTTCATAAGGTTTATAGATTTTTACTTTTGTTTGTGTAAATACTTGAAAAGCACTTTAAAATGTTTGTTTATTCATTATGCATACAAATTTAGTCAATATCATACCTATTCGTTTTGAATTCACATTGGTTGCAACCAAACATTTCTACGTCTATACTATGATTTTTCCACAAATGTGTCATCATAGATACCCACTTTGAATCGGTAAACTGGCATTCGAATTCAATGCATTTAAATTTGTCGTTTAAATGGCATTTTGTATGATACATCAAATTGTCTTCTGTGCAAAATCTAGCTTTGCACTTTCCAATCGTACACCTAAAATATATAGAATATATGATATAAATTTTTTTTGCTTAATATAAATAAGTTAATAACTATAGCAATGGTATATACAATATTAACCGTTACAAATACGTATATTTTTGAGAGTAATAATTAAACAATACAAAATACATTATAGGTAAGTTCAATACTTAGTTTATTTCTTAAATTTATTTTATAAAAACGTTCCGAATTCCAATTATGGATACCATTCTCCAATTAAATACGGTAATATCTTAAAAAATAATTAGGAAAATAGATTTATAATTTTAATGGGTATATTATGATAAAACTCGACCGCTGTACTCTATATTATATTACTTATGAGCTATTAATATACCAATATATTATACCTAGTATATTTTTATTTGATTATTTTTATAACAAATTATTAATCAAGCAGTATTTGTTTCAAATAAATAATAATCATATGCTTAGCAAAATATTAATAAATTCATACAACTCCTTACTCCACACAATTGCTTCGCATATATTTTTTAATTTTTTTTTATTTATTCTTCAAGAAGATAATGGGCCCCACTGAACATGTTAGTGTGAGGGCCCCCATGAGTTCACAATTTTAAATATAAATACATTAAATAGTTCTTATAAATTAAATATTTACAATTTGTAATATACATTTCTCACATACCTAACTTTAATATTAATAATATAAGTAATATATATTTTCTTATCTTTATTTATATAATATAGTATTACATAAAAAATTGTGTAATTAAATAATACAATATAATATGGAAATATAAAACTAAAATTAACATTAATTAGTAATTACTAAAGTCTTACAACAAATATGATAAATAATGCAGTAATCCTATACGTTTGTTATGAGTCTGTCTATATCTTGTTCTTGTAATAGCCAAAGTGTAATTTTTTTTTAAGAATCTTAAAAGAGTTGCTCTGTTTAATTTCTATTGGTAGTATATTGTAAATTTTTGGACCAATATATAAGTATGTGGATTGTGTTAATTTTTGTGCATAGTTGGTACTTTGATATTAGATATTTGCCAAATATTGTGTCCGTGTTCAGTTTTAAAAGTAAGGTTATTTTTAATTATGTAAAGTACCGACGCTTTATAAAATAATTTTTTTATTGGTAGTACATTCATGTCATTATATAAATATTTTGTGTGGTATCTTGAGTCTTTTTTTAGGATAATTTTTAGTATTTTGTTTTGGATTTTTTTTAAATGGATCTATAGTTGTATCATACGTACCTTCCCATATAGAAATACCATAATTAATTATGGATTCTATTAATGCTTGATACACTACTCTAATTGTCTTAAGTTCTAGGATATCTGTTAAATTTTTAAATGCATACATAAGTTTTCTTAATTTATTTGTTAAACATTTTATGTGGTCATTCCATTTAAGATTATGACACATTTCTATTCCTAAGTATTTACAGTTCTTAACTATTTTTACAAAGGTTTGGCATGTACATATATTTTGATTTAAACAGTCATTCTCATGTATACATAGATTTGTTTTATTTGGTTGATTTGAATTAACTATATAGTGTGGTAATATGAAGGTTTTTTCTAAGTTTAGGAATAAATTATTTTTACATAGCCATTTTTGTATTTTAATCATGTCGGATTGAACCCTAGCAAATATGAAATACTTCATCTCAGGATTGGCCTTCAAAGAAAAATACTGTATCATCTGTGTAGCAAACTAGTTTTCCTTGTGTATTCAAGTTATTAATTTGGTTTATATGCATATCAGTGTTTGGAAGGAACGAGTTCCAAAAGGAACGGATTCCTGGAACGAATTCCTTTTTAAGGAACGGCAAGTTGAACGAATTCCTTTTTATAAAAAAAGAACGAGGAAATGAACGAGTTCTTTTTTTCAAGGAAAAAGAACGAAATTTTTCGTTCCTTTCAAGTTCCAATTTACACAGATATATAAATAATTGAAATTTAAATATTTTTTTTCTTAGTGTGTATATATTTCCAATATTATGATCGTTATCGACTATCGAGTATCCGAGTATCAAACTTAAACGTTAAAGTTAGTCATTAATCATTAGGTAGGTACTCTGGCACAGGGTACTCATTACTTATTATTAGTCATTAGTAACTTTATTAATATTTCTCATAATTTATAAGTTATAACTTAATATATAGAAATGGGTAGGTATATACTATTATATTATTACATTATTACTATATAAAATATAAATCCTTGTCGACGGAAAATAAAATAGCATGAACACTGAAGACTGAACAATAAAATCATTTATGAATTATTATGCGGGTCGGGACTGTTGTAATACTTAGTACCTATATACAGCTAAAATGTATAATAATATATTACCATATTAATAACTAATAAGACGTTACAATATTATTTTAATGATAATTATTTATAACAACAATAAAATATGATAAGACAGTTGACATACGTTGGCCAGCAATTTAATTTTAAAGAAAATCTCAAAATAGATTACTAAAAACTGAAGTCAGTATTATTTTCTTAAACAGTAAATTATAAATTTACTTGTAGGTATGTATAAGTATAATTAAAAATTAAAGTACCAACTATATCTGCTAAGAAAAAAATTGATGTAAGAATTTTTATTTTATCTGGAACTAAAAAAGGAACTAGTTCTTTTTCCATAGGAACGACAAAGGAACGAATTTTTTTTTTTTAAAAGGAACAAGGAACGGAACGAATTCCTTTTTTTAAAAAAGGAACAAGGAACGGAACGAATTCCTTTTTATAAGGAACTTGACAAACACTGATGTATATTAAACAGTGTAGGAGATAAAGTTGTCCCTTGAGGTATACCACATATTATTGACGTTTCTTCTCTTAATTCATTGTTTATTTGAACGTGTTGTTTTCTATTTTTTAAATATGAACTTAATAAATTCTGAGCCATTCCATTGATACCAAGTGAGTTAACATTCTGTAGTAATATTTTATGATCTATAGTATCAAATGCTTTTACTAAATCCAAGTAAACAGTTGCTCAATTTTTTTTTTTTTTTCGAAAGAATTTTAAATATAGCTTGATACTGTTGCAATTGCTTGTTCGGTACTTTTACCAGGTTTAAAACAGAATTGGGTACATGATAGAAGATTATTACTTTCAAGGTAATGGACTAATTCTTTTTTAATAATTTTTTCAAAAGATTTGGCAATATTTGATATTTGTGAGATTGGGCGGTAATTTTCAATGTTAGATTTGTCACCTTTTTTGTGTATTGTTGTTATTACAGAAATTTAAAATCATTCCGGAATAGTAGATGTTGTTATAGCTAAATTGAAAATGTGTGATAACGGTTTAATCAATGAATGTATATTTAATTTGAGCATTTTTACTGAAATTCTATCTAACCCTGGAGAAGAATGATCTTTTAAAGCTTTTATTGCTTTTATAATTTCTTCATCATTAATTACGCTAAATTTATTAAATGACATGTATGTAGTATTTGAGATTAGTTGTTCAGTGTATATACATTCTATAGTATGTATATTTTATCCTGTAAGTTTTATTTGGTTATATTACATGTTTTGTGTTGCATTTGTAAAGTACTCATTAAAATATTTCGGTATTTATTTTGATTTATCTGCAGAGTGCAGTTTTTCACCAAATTTGTTATTAATAGTTTGAATAAAGGAATTTGTTTTAGAACGGTTTGTAGCGTTTTTAATAACTTTCCAGGTTTTGAGTCATTTCCGGCTTTTTCTAATTCAAGATATAATATCAGATTGTTCTGGAAATCTAAATAATATGCTTTATTAGAGAAAAAACTAAAATGTTTCTATACTAAGCAATAGAATAATATTAAATATTAGTTTTGAATAATCAGCAATATAACTCAGTTTTACTTATAAGCACCCGGTCACCTGGGTACCTTTATAGGTATATATATACAGTACATGGTAATTTTAAAATTATTTCTTGGAAGTGTATAATTACATATACAACTCATAAAACTTGTTGAATTGTTTGTAAAACACTTACATATAGATAATATTGCTTTATCTCTATAGTTTAGTGATTTATTAATTTACAAATTTATATATTTTATAAATTTATATTATATAATATTATTCAGCTAAGCGCAATTATAAAATTGTAAACAAGTGGCTTAAATAACTCTGCAGTTAACCCATATACATATATTTTTTGTATACATATTTATGTCATTATTTATGATTATTAGTCATAATTAAACTCATATATATATATATATATATATATAAATATAATATTATAATATATTATATATATACATCGTAACACGATTATACTAGCAACAGTGAAATGTAACTTTTAAGTATTTAATAACATATTTAAATATTTTTTCAATCCAACTTCATTCAACACATTTTCAGTATTAACATTAACCCCATTGTAAAAGTGATGATTTACTAACCTTAAATGTTTTTCTATAATATTTGTATCTTCAATGGTGTTTGTTCCTTGAAGTCCGTTGGATGATTGCTCTTGATACTCCCAAAAATCATCACAAGTATCATTCGAATGATAATTTTCAGCAGAATTAATTTCTCCTGGAAAATTATATAATACATTACCTAGCTAAACATTATAAAATGTAAATCGTTGATTACTTTGAGTAAAAATTAGAATTATTATTATCATATTACACAATACTATCTATTATTATTGAGTATACCTATCTATATAAAAATTGTAATTGTATACTATAGATTACTAGAACAATATAATTGTATAGACTATAGGTATTAGGTAATACTATACAATCGATAGGAACATAAATTATTTAATATGGGTATCAAATAAAGTTTCAGACAGAAAAATAAAGTTTATGAGTTTTTAACTTTGTGTACAAGGATAATGATTCAGCAACTAGATTATATTTTATTGACTCGTCGCTTATATTATGTAGACAGGGAGTTTTGGTGTCTAGTGTCTACACCCCCCCCCCCACCCCCCAAACGAAAACTTAAGATAATTAATAAATTATTTCTATAAGGTCTATGAAAGCTACTGCAAAATGCAAATACAAATTTGCATAACTATTCAGGGCCCAAAACTTAAAATAAAACCTCGACATCAGTATGCTAAAGGATTGGATACCGTGATTTTCTGTTTTTGTCTAACACACGCGCATAGGATTTTAGACGTGTTCTTTGCCAAACATACCAATTGATCTAATGAAGCGATAAGAACTCTGTAGACAAATTTGAATTTTTCGTAACGTCTGCTTGAAATCGACTTTGCCACATTTTTGATATTATCCCCCAAATTCCTAAAATATTAAATAGTTATATTAAAAAAATTGTTTTTTCAATTTTTGGAGAAATTAATATCAAAAAATCAAAAATGTGGAAAAGTCGGTTTGAAGTAGACTTGACATCAAATTGAAATCTATTTTTAGAATTCTTATCGCTTCATTAGATCGATTGGTATGTTTGGCATTTGGCAAAGAACATGTGTAAAACCTAAGTCGAGCGTGTGTTAGACAAGGATAGAGAACCACGGTATCGAATCCCCTTGCGGCCTTGCCGATGGGAGATCCTAGTTAAGCCAACTCTGTGTAAAGGTAAACACATTATCAACTCCCCCCCCAAATAATAATCCTGGCTATGCTACTGAAAAGACTCCATTCATAGTAGGTATATGATCTAAGGGAAGATTATTATATGGACGCTATGGTGATATGAACATTTTAGTAATTTATATTAATCTATCAACATTTATAATTTGTAAAAATGGTCCAAGTATGGATATACATAGACACGTCATAGTAAATACTAAATCCAATATTACGTTTACTTTATATTTTTTTAAACCCAATTTTAAGAACTATTATCCTTAGAATAGACATTTTAATAACTGAGAAACAACTCGTTCGAATTTTGTATAAGGTATATCAACATTAAAAAAAAAAATAATAATAATAATTTACAGTATAAAAAATAAGGGGGTTCTCGTTTGAAAAACAGCAGTTTGCATCACCACAGGACATTAGTTAAGTGTTAAACCCTATAATATATAAAAATTATAAAAATCAGATTTAAATTAATTAATCAATAAAGGAAATCTTAGGATGGGCATGCCTGGTGAATCACCCTGTATAATCGTGACACGCATATCTCAAGTTACTATCAAACTATTATAGTAATTAGGAATGTGGTATTGTATACAATACCACATTTTTATTGGTGACTATAAATGGGTGCTTCAATAGTTAAATTATCAATTTCGATATATTTTCTTGTAGGAAAGTTAATCAAGTTAGAACTTTAAGGGGCTTAAAAGTAAAAATGTCTACTAATTCTCAAAATAATCGGAAAACCCGGAATATTTATGTACACAATTTAACGACATAATAATTATGTTAATCAACTATTGATTTCGATCGTTTTGTGTAATTTAAAAACAAATAACCGTAAATTTAAATTGTTCTAGGAAAAGTAGCATCATGTCTAAAAAATGTTTATATTTAAGAGGACGTGATACCCACATGTGTTGTCTCCGTCTTACAAGTGCGTAACATAGCAAATTCTACGCAAAGCAGAACACGTGTAGCTCCGTTAGCTTAAAAATTAGAGTGAATAACTATTATAAAATCTAAAGGTAAGATTATTATCTAGACAACCTCATGGGATTTTTATTATCTTTTAATTTTTAAGCGAGCTATGATTATTTTAAAATAGTAAATTGTTTATAGATCTTAAACTACTCATAACTAGCTTCAAAATTAAAATATTAAAAAAAGCCCATGAGGTTGTCTAGATAATAATTTTACCTTTAGATTTTATAAGAAGTTAAATTACTCTAATTTTTAAATTAACAGAGCTACACGTGTTTTGCTGAGCGTAAAATTTGCTATGTTATGCACTTGTAAGACGGAGACAACACATGCGGGCATCACGTCCTATTAAATATAAATATTTTAGATTCTGAGTGGAACGATGAATGTAATGATTTTACAATGTGTGTTTTTTTTAGATTCTGAGTGAAACGATGAATGTATTGATTTTACAATGATGTGTGTTTTTTTATTTTTTTTTTTATTTTTTTTATTTTTTTATTTTTTTTTGTGTCTGTCATCACGTTTTAGGACAGTAAAAGTGCTTGGATTTTCTTCATCAGTAGCTTTTCTGATAGGAAAGTGAATCTAGTTGGTACTTTGGGGGGTCAAAAGTATAAATTTCCCAGTAGTTTTCACAAGCGCCGGGAAAAACAACATAAAAATTAAGGAAAAACGGGAATTTTTACGCAAAATTGGTTTTCCAAAAAATCGATTTTGGTTTTTGGTGTAACTCTGAAACAAATGAACGTATATACATGAAATTTTCACTGGTTGTTTATATTTGCATTTTCTATACACGATAACATTTTCAAAATATTTTGATTTATTTTGAACTGTTTAGGGACATTTTCATTTTCCATTTTTTTTTAGTTTTTTTTCTAAAAATATCAATAAAATTTTATTTGTTGGTTGCGAAAGCTTGAAAATTTAATAGAAGGCTCCTAATATATTGCTTCAAAGGCAGATGAAAAATATTAAAAATCCTTAGTCACAATTTTTTTTATAAGCATTTAAAGTTCAAAAATTGACAAAATATGGGAAAATCACGAAAATTAGCAAATTATTTTGAGTTAAGAATTCGTAAAAATTTTTCTTTTTAAATCTAAGATTTGAAAATTAAACACAAGATTCCTTATAAGTTTGTCTACCTTTATCAAAAGAAAAATGTTTATAAGAAAGTCAAATTAAATTTTTATGAGCGTTTGAAATTCAAATTTTTACAACATTGAATATTCACTCGATTTCCCATGTAGCGATTTCCTTATTTTGTTGTAATTCAAAAACAAATAACTGTAGATACATGAAAATTTCACTGAATGTTTAAATTAGCATTTTCTATACACCATACAATTTTGAAAATATTTTGACTCTTTTTGAGCTGTTTATGGACATTTACAGCTTTCAATTTTTTTTAGTTTTTTTTTCTATAAATATCAATAAAGTTTTATCTGTTGGGCCAAAAAGTGTAAAAATTTAATACAAGGCTCCTGATATATTGTTATAATATCAGTTGAAAAATATTAAAAATACATAGGCACAGTTTTTTTTTATAAGCATTTAAAGATCAAATTTTGACAAAATTTATCAAAATCTCGAAAATTATCAATCATTGTAATTAATAAATTATAAAATGTTCAGTTTTTATAGCTAAGGATTGCAAATTCAACACAAAGGTTCTCGTAAATAGTTCATACTGTAACCAAAAAATCTAAAAAATATATGAACACAGTTATTTTTTACAGACATTTTAAATTCAAATTTGGACGAAATTACATATTAAAAAACCTAGAATAACTATTTTAGTTATTTTGTTGTGATTGAATAATATTATTCGTGGATACTTGAAACTTCTAAAGTGTACTATTATATATCTATGATAGTATCACGGTTTTTGTTGATGTATAACGCGTTATAAGTACCTAATGGATATTTTGATATGATTAATTTGGAATTTATTATAGGTACCCATTATAGGTCAATTTTTTGTTTAATACCATAGATATGTATATAATATGTCTTATACATAGACTGACATACCGTCTGCGCTCAGAATCGTTTTTCTTATACAATGATATTATATCGTTGAATTCAAATTTAATATCATCCATTATACAGTGACCCACTTGTAACCTACTGTACAGCAGAGCGACACCCACTTGCCCACCTTTTTTTTATTATTTTTTTTTTTTTTTGTGTCTGTCATCACGTTTTAGGACAGTAAAAGTGCTTGGATTTTCTTCAACAGTAGCTTTTCTGATAGGAAAGTGAATCTAGTTGGTACTTTGGGGGGTCAAAAGTAAAAATACTTCCAGTATAGTTTTCACAAGCGCCGGGAAAAACAACATAAAAATTAAGGAAAAACGGATTTCCAAAAAATTGATTTTGGTTTTTGGTGTAACTCTAAATCAAATGAACGTATATACATGCATTTTTCACTGGTTGTTTATATTTACATTTTCTATACACGATAAAATTTTTAAAATATTATGATTTGTTTTGAACTGATTAGGGACATTTTCATTTTCCATTTTTTTTTTAGTTTTTATTCTAAAAATATCAATAAAATTGTATTTGTTGGTTTCGAAAGCTAGAAAATTTAATAGAAGGCTCCTAGTGTATTGTTTCAAAGGCAGAAGTAAAATATTAAAAATCCTTAATCACAATTTTTTTTTATAAGCATTTAAACTTTAAAGTTCAAAAATCACGAAAATATGGAAAAATCACCAAAATTAACAAATTACTTTGAGTTAAGAATTCGTAAAAATTTTTCTTTTTAAATCATAGATTTGAAAATGTAATACAAGATTACTCATAAGTTTGTCTACCTTTATCAATAAAAAAATCTCTACCGCCTACCGGAAAGTCAAATTAAATTTTTATGAGCGTTTGAAATTCAAATTTTTACAACATTGGATATTCACTCGATTTCTCATGTAGAGATTTCCTTATTTTGTTGTAATTCAAAAACGAATAACTGTAGATACATGAAAATTTCACTGAATGTTATACTAGCAGTTCCTTTACACCATACAATTTTGAAAATATTTTGTCTCTTTTTGAGATGTTAACGGACATTGTCAGTTTTCAATTTTTTTAGTTTTTTTTTCTATGAATATCAATAAAGTTTTATCTGTTGGGCCAAAAAGTATAAAAATTTAATACAAGGCTCCTGATATATTGTTACAATATCAGTTGAAAAATATTAAAAATACATAGGCTCAATTTTTTTACATAAGCATTTAAAGATCAAATTTTGACAAAATGTATGAAATTTAAAATTGAATAATTATTTTGTAGTTAAATATTTTTAAAATGTTCAACTTTTACATCTAAGGATTGAAAATTTAAAACAAAATTCCACGTAAGTAGTTAATTCTGTTACCAAAAAATTTAAAAAATACATACGGACAGTTTATTTTTATAGTAATTTTAAGTTCAAATTTGGATGAAATTACATAATGAAAAACCTAGAATAACTATTTTAGTTATTTTGTTGTGATTGTTGTGATTATTCCTGGGTACCTACTTGAAACTTCAAAAGTACACTATTATATATCTATGACAGTATCAGGGTTTGTTGTTGATGTATAACTCGTTATAAGTACCTAATGGATATTGTGATATGATTAATTTGGAATTGATTATAGGTACTTATTATAGGTCAATTTTTTTTAATACGATAGATAAGTATATAATATGTCTTATACCTAGACTGACATACCGTCTCCGTTCAGAATCGTTTTTCTTATACAATGATATTATATCATTGAATTCAAATTTAATATCATCCATTATGTAGTGACCTACTTGTAACCTACTGTACAGCAGAGCACCTTTTTTATAATAGCTACCACGTTTATATGCAGTCATTAATGCTTATTAATTGCAGTTCAATTTGAATTTGTTTTCGTACACATATGTGCAAAGCGCATATAAACCGCAACAGTGGCGTATCTACGAGGGGAGACCAAATTTTGTACGCAATACAACATGTATATAATAACATGAATATAATATGTGTATACTGAATATGTCTATTAAAATAATAAAATCTTTATATCCCCCTTCCGTGAAAAATCCTAGATACGCTACTGAACCGCAAAGCCACGAAGGATAAAACAAATAAATCAAAACTTTATTACAAGCAGTGGTGTATTTGTACGGGTACGCGGGTATACGCCGTATACCCATCAGAAGATTTTCGGTTTTCGGCGTATACCCAATGTAAAATCTTATTTTACGGGCATACGTTTCCAAAATAACCAGAAAACCAAATAAGATTTAAATAGTTAATTTAATAGTTCATATAGGAAAAAAACGTTATTCGTTATTATGTATTAATGAATTATTTGTCAATTGAAGTAGGTATTGAATATAAGTTGTATAACAATATGTGTTGTGTTTAATGTATTTTAAGGCTTTAAGTTAAATTTAGTAAACCCAATATTGAATACAAAAAATCTTTGTGGAAAATTCTATAGATTGTACCTATAATAATAATGTTATTATTATTTTAATTTTTTTGACATTTGAGTTGATTTGTTTTATTTTCTGTTGTTACATTATAAAAAAATTGATAAAATAATGTTAAAAACTATGTACTAATTGTACTGCAATAACGTTATATAATATATACGATGATATAATTTGATCGTTTAAGTTACATACATATTTTATTGGTGCGTATACCCATAAATATATTTACCAATACACCACTGATTACAAGCTCGTAGTTCGAGCATGAATAAATATAATGTAAATACAGCATGATTCTATTTTATCATGTACTTGCAATATCACGGGAAATATATTGAATTTAGAAACTATTTTTTTTAAACGTCATCATATAGACATAAAATAAACATACATTTTACATAATTATAGTATTTTTTCTTAAAGTTAAAAAAACAAATAAAATATACTTCTTATATTTTCTTATATTATATTGCCTGGTTTACAATAAAATTATCAGTACCTATTCACTCTGAATTTTTTGTATAATAAACGTTCCCTTGTTCCCTACAATGCGTGTGAACCGAAAGTATTCGATACTATTTAGTATTTACTAACTATTTATTATTTTCGTTTCATTATTATTTATTATTAATTAGATATAGTAGAACGGCCATCTTGTTATCCTATTAATTGAGAAGAAATTAAAACCTGCAATACACAGTTTTTAATTGTTGGTGAATGGTAAACAACTTAATCGTCTATCGTGTTGAGCTATTAAAAAAGACAACTAAAAATCAGGTAAGGGTACCCATATAAATTATAATTAATTGTCCTCCGTCTATAACCAAAAATTCGATAGAGCTATTTTGAATATTTATTAAATGGTGTTAATTCGTACTTTTTTTTAAAAACATTATTTTAAATCAACACACCCTGCAAATTCTCTTTTAAAATTAATTTAAAAATATGTTTGTAACGAAGAACGGAAGAACCTATAAGTACCTACTACTACTAGAGTATTGGCGTACTGTCTATTGGCTATAGGGTATGAGTATCTTGTAGCTAAAATATGCGGTACTTCTTATAATCGGATCTATTATAATCGAACGCGATGCATAAGTAACAGAACTCCATCCTTAACCTAAGTCAACATTGAAGTTGTGTGACAATGGTGTGTGGGGGTGGGAGGGTATCAACAGTCCGTACCAACAGAATCATGAATTCCGTGTAGACACCTGTTGGCTGTTGTGGGGGGTATGGTTGTACGGAGTACGGACAACTGGCGTTCGGTCGACGGATGACGACCACAACTGATCACTTTAATATACTCTACAGTTCTAGTAGTACGTACATTCCACGAGATCGCAAGTACGAGTTGAACATAACGATTTTTTTTTACTTTCGTTTAATAAATCGTATTATTTTCAAGCAGTTCGTTTCTAGTTAAGACACATATGAAGTACTTGGTACACTGTTACAACAATTGAACAATCAATAATGTATAGACACGTAAATACGTAATCATCGGGGAAATGTTAAACAGGACGTCATACTATTACACCTGATTTTGAAACACCGGACGGACGTTGGCGATTGACCGAATACAGTGTTGAACCAAACGTTGAGAAAGGTGAACAATATTCTATTTTTAAATCAGATCCACGCATCTCTGAGAACGCTGTTATCAACTTACAGTATAGGTGTTCTAATCTGTTGTACGGAGTACGGACAACTGGCGTTCGGTCGACGGATGACGACCACAACTGATCACTTTAATATACTCTACAGTTCTAGTAGTACGTACATTCCACGAGATCGCAAGTACGAGTTGAACATAACGATTTTTTTTTACTTTCGTTTAATAAATCGTATTATTTTCAAGCAGTTCGTTTCTAGTTAAGACACATATGAAGTACTTGGTACACTGTTACAACAATTGAACAATCAATAATGTATAGACACGTAAATACGTAATCATCGGGGAAATGTTAAACAGGACGTCATACTATTACACCTGATTTTGAAACACCGGACGGACGTTGGCGATTGACCGAATACAGTGTTGAACCAAACGTTGAGAAAGGTGAACAATATTCTATTTTTAAATCAGATCCACGCATCTCTGAGAACGCTGTTATCAACTTACAGTATAGGTGTTCTAATCTGTAGTACACAGACAGGAAGCACAGTGAACGAGTTAAGTAGTTCATCATATATTTATCATAATCCGCAATCGACACTCCACGATTAGCATAGTCCATATTATTTATTTTTACATAATACATTAATATTTAATACTGAATGTCTAGATATGATTATAATTTCAACGCCAAAGGTGTGTACTGTATTTCTGTAGATCTACACAACCTACAAGATACGAAATAGCGAGTATGAGTGTATGACTGTTGAACATTATAATGTTATTTACTAAAATATTTTAACCTTGGATAGTAAGTGGTGAAATAAAATTATTAGTCATCACTTGTTGAGTTTATAGATAACAGAAATAATCTCGGACATAATATCAACATAATTAAGTGATAGTTTGAAAAATAAATGAAAATATAAACATAGACAGCTATTAACCCAGAAATTAATAACAATTAACAACTAAAGAACAACCTTAAATTTTTTTAACAATGTTTTCAAATTGTGTAATTACTAGAAACATTCAACATAGTTGTAAATTATTAATTGTTGGTGGAGGTTCTGGAGGATGTACAATGGCAGCTAAACTCTCAAAATATGAACGTGATGTGATCATACTGGAGCCAAATGATAAACACTACTATCAACCTATGTTCACGTTGATTGGTGGTGGTATGAAAACTATTTCCCAGTCCCGTTCTTCTACAAAATCAGTGATTCCAAAAAATGTAAATTGGATCCAGGACAAAGTCAAAAGTTTTAATCCACAAGGAAATACTGTAACGACATCAAACGGAGACACAATTAATTATGATTATATGGTGGTATCTATTGGACTGCAATATAATTATGATCAAATCATTGGCTTAAGAGAAGCCCTTGAAAAAAAAGATAGTGGAGTTTGTACAAACTATTCATCTCAATATGTGGAAAAAACTTATCAAGTTTTGCAGAATTTCAATGGTGGAAATGCAATATTTACATTTCCTAATACACCTATTAAATGTGCAGGAGCTCCTCAAAAAATTATGTATATTGCAGAAGACTATTTAAGAAGAAAAGGTATAAGAAACAAGGCAAATATTATATACAAAACATCTACACCTGCAATATTTGGTGTTAAAAAATATGCACAGAAGTTACAGCAAATATGTAATGCACGTAATATTTCTGTTGGCACTAGACAAAATTTAATACAAATAGATTCTACACAGAACAAAGCCACTTTTGAATTTCTTGATGTCGAAAATAAAACTGAATCAATAGAATATTCTATGCTTCATGTAACTCCACCAATGGGTCCACCAGATGTTCTAATGAAATCCAGTCTCAGCAACAGTGCTGGGTATTTAGATGTTGATCCTTATACATTGAGGCACAATATTTATGGAAACGTATTTGGAATCGGAGATTGTACGAGTTGTCCGACATCAAAAACAGGAGCTGCAGTAGCAGCACAAAGTATTGTTGTTTTTAAAAACATGATAAATGTGATGAATGGTAAGAACATCAAAGAAAAATATGACGGATACACATCTTGTCCATTAGTCACTGGATATAGCAAATGCATTCTAGCAGAATTTGATTATGACCTTAAACCATTAGAAACATTTCCAATAAACCAAGGGAATGAATTGCGCATCATGTTTTTAATGAAAAAACATGCACTACCATTTATTTACTGGAATATAATGCTTAAAGGTTATTGGAACGGCCCTAAAACTATAAGGAAAATCATGCATTTTGGTCTCGATTAGATTAAGTAAAATAATAACGATGTAGTAAAATAAAAATACTTTTTATGGGTATAATCATTATTATAGGTATTAAGCATTAAATTGTGTATATTGTAGTGACAACAGAATTATTGTTATTTAATAATACCAACCATTTTAAACACTATAATTAATTTAATTAATACCTAATAGCTATTATTTATCATATTATGTATTAATACTTTTGATTTTTTAATTTTTTGTAGTTTGTACATTTATTGTATGAATTGATGTCTTAATAGTCTATACTAAATATAATATTTCTAATTATTTGATTCTGGATATTAAAATAATAAATAAATAAACAACTGGGGTATCTAATCTTAAAAATAATTAAAGCTTGTAAATGAGTATAAAGTGAGCATTTTTACTAATTTAATTTTAAGTAATAAAATACAAATGTTACCTGTGTTTTGAGTGTCAATGAAATGTAATTTATGACCAAACTCAGAAGTATCCAGTATTGTATCATTAAAATTTGCTGAAATATTGTTTTCAGTTTGAGATATTTCATTATCTATGAAACATTTTAGTTGTTACTTATTTCAAAACTACTATTTTAAAATAATATGCAATATATATTTACTATTTTTGTATAAAACATCTTCATTATGAGCTTCAATTACAAGTTGAACTAATCCATCAACTTCATCAGACACGACAGCATGGTCTTCAATCAAATGGCACTGAAATTTAAAATATTAACCTATTAATTATATTCCAAATGTGAAATTAAAGTAAATTTAATATTATATCAGCAAAAATAAAAAATCGTAAGTCAATAATATGTAGTAAGAAAAAAGGGTATAATTCTACTTTATGGACACTATTTTTTTTTGCAATTTTTCTTTTTGAAACTAATGTAGTTAAGTACATTGAAAATGATGGACAGAATTTGGCGCTTGGGCTTAGTTTGGACACTTCAATGGTAATATATAAATAGAGGGAAAATGATAAGAGTTGATATACGGCAGTTATCCTATGACCAACTTGGGGTGTCGTTGCATAGCAAGTCGAGGGATATTTTCGATTTTTTTGTCCGAGAGCATCGTAGCAAGCAAGTGGCATCACTGGTGTTCCCCAGAAAAAAGGCCCTAAAAATTGTATCCCGTAAAGTAGAAAATTTCCGAAAAAAACACAAAAGTTTCTAATCTAAACCTACATCGTTTTACATTAGATTAAAAAATGTTAAATTATTTTGTATGAACAATACCTAAGCGAGTCTTAACTCGGGAATATTATTCCTTTCATAAAATAAAGTTTTTTAGTAAATGTAGGTATTACAGAAATTTTGCAAGTATTATCATACATTAACTTAAATAATGAACTCCAATGTCTATAATTTAAGTTAAATTATAGACAATGGAGTTCTACATAAAATATTTTTTATATTGTTTTAATAAGATTGACATATATAATTATAACACCAAAACAGTGATTTTTGATGATAAGAAAGTAAAATAATAATGCAATTCTGGGTGCAATTCCATAAAGTGAATACTTACTCGAAGAACATTTACTGAATAAAATATGTTATCACATCCAATACATTTTATTCTTTGTGAAGATTTAAGTGAACTATGATAGAAATGATGATTTTTTTCATTATGATCCAAAATAATTTTGTCATTTAAACAAAGAAATGGACATGAATCACAATAGTAAAATCCTAACCCATTTATAGTCTTATAGTTAGTAGAAGCTGTTTTTTTTTCTTCTTTGCACAATGTTTTTTGATTTTCTGAAAATTCACGAAAGAATGTTGACATTTGACTATTACCCAAGTCAAGAAGATCACCGCTGTTTGAATTTTGAATGATATCAAAATCAGTTGATAAATCAGAAAAATTGTTCAACAAATTTTGTTGAGGCTTGGCTGTTTCTGTTGTCTTAAATATTAGCTTCTCGTCAGGTATAACTCTTACACGTTGGGTCACTAACCGATCCCTATCCACAACCCTCAATGTATGATTGGATGGCTGTAGACCGCTTGATGTAAACATATTGAAATTGGTCGTCAATAAAAAAAGGGATAATGTTAAAGGTTAATTAGTCACAATAAGCTGTGTTCAACATTTACAATTAAGTAATAAACTGGATACTAAAAGCAAACATTTTACATTTCTAAAACGAAATAAACAATTAAAATATTTTCAACAAGACATTAGGACATGAGTTACAAATTACAATTTATTTACATTTTACAATTTTACATTCACAAATACGGTCTTATCTCTATTGTTTTTGTTATCACATACTTCGTAATCACCACAATGTGGTTGTCTTATGTTTGATATCACTTCTTGATGAGAAATATATTTTATCTCAAGCATGAACTAAGATAATATTATCTTAGTTCATGATCTCAAGCCATCAGTCGATTGTCGATGGCCGTCGGCCGATACATACACAAGATACAAATTATAATAAAATCAAAATAGTAAACATAGGTAATATATTGAAGAATTATAATACCTGTTACTTGAAATTTAAATATTATATTTATCATCTCACGACTCGCTAGAATAAATCATGATTTAATAATAATTTTACCTCTACAGCTCGTCTCTACATCTTACACATTGACCTTTAATAAGATCATCTCGTTGAATTGTAATTAAAATGTCAGAAGCTAAAAATTCGGATTCAAATCCTTGCTTGCAGGTAACGTCATATAATTTCAGTTATAACACACTACAAATTCGCTAGATTAAACCGGTGTGAAAAATAATGCACCGGGATGTTTGGACTATATCGTTTACATGGTTCATTATCCAGGTGCCGGATAATGTGGCATAGTTTAGCGAATTTCTAGACAGACTATATTTTCATATTATAGTCTGTGGTTATAACTTATTAGTATATATATATATATATATAGGTATTATTATCATGAAAATCTGCTAAACAGTAGATGATATGAATAAGTTTATGATTAAAATACTATATGTCTATATATTACACTAATGGAATATTATCTTGTTTCCCCACTTTTGATGATAATACAAATTACCATTACTAAATTTGAATTATTCTATTTTCAATGTCAAAAACTAGAACACTTTACATTTAACTATATTTTGCTGTACAGGAACAAAGATTATCATTCAAATGCTTGCAAGATAGTTTTGGTGATAAATCCCAATGTGAACCGCAAATAGAAAATTACAAAGACTGCAAAACATTTTGGGTATGCTTTTATGCACTAAAAATAAAATCCTTATTAAATTTCCTTTTCTTTTGAAAAAAATGTTAAGTTGTATAATATTAATTGTATTTGCCCCCACACAAATATGTTCAGTGGGGCCCATTATCTTTTTGAAGAATAAATTTAAAAAAAAAAAGAATAATAATGTATAGGAACATTAATATGTAACTTAGACAAAATGTTGATTTATATTTATATTTAATTGTCAATATATTTTGCTTTCAGTACAATATTTTTAAAGAGAGGAAAAACAACAAAATAAGGCCATACATGCCATCATTAGAAGAACGGATAAAAATTAAGAAGGAATACATGAATGGTCATTAAAACATGAAAAATCTTATAACTAATAATATGTATATTATAATATATTATTAATGTTTACAGTTTACTATAATATTATCTACATATTTTTTGTGTTAATATATGGTTATAACTTATAATTATATATTTTTATTTAATACTTGAGTAAGGTTTAAATAAATGTAGTTTTGTTTCACTTCAATAAAAATATTTATGAAAAAAAAAAAAATTTTAATATTATTACAATTATTAATTAATAATATTTGCATGTATAAATAACAAAATACATAATGGAAAAAAAATCAACATAATAATATTGTATTGTAATGCTAAAATAAAAAAGTTTAATTTTAAAACAAACATATTTCAATTTAATGTATTGTGAATAAATAATAAATAAATAAATAGGTAGCTAACATTTTAATTAAAATACTTTAGTATGTATTTGATAACGAAAGCTTATATTATGACTACCTACTTATAGTTGTACAACTCATACAAATACCTGGAATTAACTTACTTATTAATTTAAGTTTCTATGAATGAAGGATAGCATCGTATGCTTGGAAAACTCCTTGTGCAACTTCCATAGCTAGTAATTTTAATGATAGCTAAACATAAAATAATTTACAAATTATAACAAAACAATATACATAAGCTTTTTATACAACAATATTTTAGTTTGCTAAAATACTTATATATTTATAAATGTTATAAAATAATTGTTCTTTGAAATTATTATATCTTATGTTAAACAATCTACAGCACAATTTTTTTAACCTTCGGGAAGAAAATAAAATAGGTTTAATAACAATGAGTTTAATGATAGGTTGCATGAAAAAAAACACCAAACATTTAACAAATCAATAGTGAGCGTTTAGACATGATTAAAGCCATTAAAGGACCGATATCCATTCAATGTTATTGAGCCATTAAATGTATTGATTTGTCATGAAACCCGGCATAAATCTAGTTAACTACTTAAATTACTTACAGTTATGTTTGGATTTCCTGGCTGAATTTTAAGCTCATTCAACACCCAATTACCATTTGTCAACTTTAATGACTGGTATAACATGTCCTGGCCTTCAACGTGTCTTTTAGCTATTGTAAAGACATTATTTTGTGACATCTTCAAGACGATAGCCTCTGAAAAATATTAATATCTATAAGTAATAACTGCTAAAAATATAGAACAAAATAGTTTAAAAAAAATAACCTGGTAAATTTAAGTACAAACAAAAAGAGGAAATAAATGAATTTCTGAGAACAATTAGTTTATGCAACTTAATGTTACTAGAATATTAGCTGAACGGTTTGAGGTCGTAAGGTATTACTACTATTACTTTATCGTTTTATACTATAATTAATATTCAGTTTCTACCTGTGTTGCAAAGAACATTTTTCAAAGTGAATTGCACTTCATTTTCTGCAGGTATGTCTTTCCAAGTTTTCAAAAACACTCGCTTATCCATTTGACCATCTTCGATAAAGAATACATTCATTGGAATAATACAAGCATAATATAAAACATCAATATTATTTTTTATTGCCACCTATAACATGGTTGTAAATTAAAAATGTTCTATTTCATAATTCATGTTACAGCAAATAAATATATACTTGAAGATTAGTTATAGGTTCCATTCGTTGCACAAGTCCAGTAGTCGCAAGAGATAAACTGGTTTCATAAGATGCCGTTGGCAATAATGGATTTAATACTTGTAATGGACGAGCTGGTGTCAAGCCAAAACTAAAAAGAGAAAATGTACAGAATTTTAATTTTGGTTTTAATAAAGATACAAATAAATATATTTATTAAATAACATTGTTTTCTTTTACAAAAAAAGTTATGCAAAATTAATTATTTTATGACATACAATATAAAATGCAGTTTTGGGTAATAACGTAGCGTTGCAAATTATAAATTACTGTAATGAAATTACTTTTGCAATAACTCTAGTAATTTCATTATATTTTATATTCACAATTGTAAGAAAATTAATTTTCAAAAGTAATTTCTAAGGACTAACGTGTTATTTTCCATGTTATTAATATAAATTATGAATATATTATATTTAAGTTTATTGAAATTATCTTATAAACAACTATACTTTTAAAATTGCATATTATTGATATCAAAATTTGTATCATGTAGAGCAGGTATCAGCTTTCCGAGTCTCGCATATGGCCATCATGGTAATTTTATGTAGCCCAAGAGTAAAATTTATAATTTAAGAAATTGACTAGTCGGAGACAAGAAAAGTGGTGTGTGACCTTGGGCTGTACAGCGGGCCAAACATCGCCTGCAGACAATGGTTCTCAACCTGCGGAGTCATTAGCGAGTGCAGCATGACATGTGTCTTGTTTATTGAGGTTTGAGAACACATTAGACGATTTTACCACTAGGATTCACGTGCTCAAACACCACTTTTCGTGTCCCCAACTATAAGATAGTCATCTGAACTGGAATTTTTGGATTAAAACATTGTTTGTTTTTAGATATTTTGTTAATTTAATAAACCTAATATTTATGAGCTGAAATAAACTAAATTTGATATGATTATACATTTTTGTTTAAAACAAAATAAGGTATATTGAAATTTGTGGTCCGTGAAAAATGTATAATTAATTGTTGGCCCTCGACATCAAAAAAGTTTCTGACCCCTGATGTAGAGTACTGGATTTTATACAAATAGGAGAAAATTAGTTTGCATTTAATGAATAAAACATTTTAAGAACCCTATAAATATTTACCATAAATCTGATATAATAATTTTAATAATCATAAAATTGTTCACCTAGATTTATTGTATTTACATTTATTGTAACTAAAGGTCAACGAACCAGAAGTTTTTGGTTATCATAATAAATGTTATATAAGTTTTGAATTATGATTATGATGCTTGGACAATTCAATAAAAGTTCAATGATTTGTGTTAAAAACTATAATTTGGAAATCAACAACTCAGCAATTATTTTTATAGACAAACTTTAACCTTCTAATGACTGAGAACATAAATAAAACAAATTCAATATTTTATCAAATAAATAAATACTTACGAATTTTTGTTTAACTGAATAGCAAATCCACTCATTGGTTGCATAGCTTTGTTCTTGAGAGTCATATCCATACTAATTTGTCCATTTCTAAAAAAAAACAGTAAAATTAAATAATATATGACCTATCATATACATTATATTAATATTTTTTGACATACTTCCTCGAAAATGTTCCCATAATTTCTAAACCTTTTCCGTTTTCACTTGGTAGCCAAAGTTGTTTAGGCGGAGAATAAGATACTGGTGTGGGTGTAAATCCAAAAATGTCACCAAGCAGACCTGTATTTGATGATGAAGCTGCTGGTAAGTCAGATGTGGTTAATAATGAATCTAACCCAGAAGCAAGTAAATCAACAGAAGGAGGTTGAACAGATGTCGGAACAACAGCTGGAGTAGTCAGATCCATACTAAGAAGATCTCCAATCAATGATTCTTGTGGTGCAGGTATGACTGCAGCTTGAGGAACATTACTAGCAGATGTATTTTCATTTCTATAAGAAATGCATGTTAAGTATTATACACTATACTGTAATAAATGGAATATGTACATATATGAATTAAAAATTATCATAATTTCTTTACCTGGCTGGTAAAGATTTTCTTAATCCTGGTCGTCCTTCAACAAATGCATTTGGTGGCTTATGATAAACACTGGCAAGACTAGAAATATGACATACAAGTTCATCGAGTAAAGTTGGTTCTAAAAGATCGGTTTCTTCGGATATCAATGGTTTTTCAGCAAGTACAACATCTTTGGCAGCACCCGGATCAGTGGACAGCAACCTCCAATAAATAAAACCACGATCACGTAAATCAGGATTATCTGAATCTTGGGTAGCCAAACTTAAGACTTGTTGTACTAATTCTTGAGTGTCAGTAGGTCTCTTCAAAAATAGTTTAACGATAGCAGTTAATAATTGCAATTGGACTTGAGTATTTTCATCATGGAAACCTTCCAAAAAGCTTTCTAAAAGTTCATCAGCATTATCTATACGTTCAGCATATTCTCCAATTATCCAAATCATAGATGCTCTTGCTTCTGGTTCATCAAGTGTGTCCAAATTTTCACACAATAAAGATATTATGCTTTCGTACTTGTTAGGGTATTTACGGAATATATCTTTGATAACTACAATTGCTTCTTGAACTACATAGTTTACTTTTGTCTGTATAAGGTCCAAAAGTGTAGACACACAACGTTCAGCAGACTGCTCTACTTTAATTGCACATCGACCAATTGCACGAACTGCTTTGCGCACAAAATCAACATCAACTTCAGTGGCATACCTAAATGCATTTTAATATGAAGTCAGTTAAAATAAAAAATTAATTATAAAAAATGTGTTTACTCTTTCAGTTCTGAAAGAACTTGTGCTATGTTGGCTTGCGATGCTAAACGTATCATAATATCCAGTTTCTCAAGTTTGACATAAATGGGATCGTTATATTTAACAAAAAAAACTTTCATTTCATGCTTAAGTATATCTGGCCTCTTTTGGACTATTAAATTAATATTTCTGAGAGCAACATATTGAACCTATAATATATAAATGCATAGCTATTTAGTTGAATTTTAGATATATTATAGAATAAATTATCATATAATTATATATATATATTACTTCTGGTTCTGTAGATAATAAAGTAACAAGCGGTGGAGCAAGTTTTTTAGTCAATGTAGTAACAAAGTCAGAATCAGTTGGCAACATTTCCATTAGTTTCATTAAGACTTTAATAGCAGATAAAACAACTGCAGCATTAGCATGAGCTAATCGAGGTGTTATTCGTTCACATATACTAAAATAAATAAAACCAAAAAACTATGAAATAAACTGATCTACTTTTAAATTAATAACATAAGCATTAAACATTTAATTGATTCCAGGAGACTTAAAATACTAAAAATGATTAACACGTATTTTTCTATGTCTTATAATTTGTGGTTACAACTTACAAATAGAGCAAATATTTTATTTCATATTATTCTTTTATTTTTTTTAAAAAAACAACTAGAATAACTATTTACAAACTAATTGAATAAAAATAAAACAGTTTTTAAAGGATTAAAAATAAAACTATTTTAATAGCAGGGCAATATTTCATAGGGTATATTTATGAAATAACTATATTTTCTATAGCCAACAGTTGCAATGAATGAGTCAATACTTTAACTTACATAGTTTTTCTAAACTAAACTACTTGTTAGTACAAAACCAAGGCTATTACATTTAGGTAATTAAACAAATATAATAAGCTTTTTATATTACATAAAATCTAATAAAATAAATACTTCAATAAATATTTACCTTTGTGCCTCACGATCATCTTTTGGGCTGTAATTAGCTAACGAATCAAGAATAAACACTTGACCCCATTCTGTACATTCATTTAGAGCAGTTAAAAGTTTATTAATAGTTTGTGAATTCATTTCAATCAATGGAGAACCAGTTATACTAGCTTCATTCATTTCAGATAAAGCAGCAACAGCGTTAGCAACCACCTTTTCGAAAATAAATTACAATCATTTTTTATACAACATAAAGAAAATAAGTAATTACCATAGGATTAGAGTCTGATAAAAGTTCTTTTAACTGTTCCAAAAATCCTTGATCATCAACAAGTTGTGCATTGATGTCGTAAAGTTTAGCAACACAAACTGCAGCTGTTTTACGTACATATGGATCTTCATCTCTCAAGCATTTACGCAATGGTTCACATAGATATTCGGTTATTTTTTCGACTCTGATGCAGCCCATGGTGCGCACTGCCAAAGCACGTATTAACGGATTTGGATCTTCACAATCCTTTTGAGCAATAAAGATGGTTTTGAATTAATTATAATATAGCGATAAATAGTGAAAAATATTACCTTAACAAACGTATTGACAGCCATAATAGCCATATCAGGATTGCTTTTAGCATAATTCATCAAATACAAATAAACAAGTTTCTTCAGTTCTAAGTTATCAGTTTGCATACAATTTACAACATCAGGAAATAGAGCAGACACATCTTTACCAACCGTCATAGACGCAATAACCTATCAAAAATAGCAACAAAAGTAAAAGTATTATAACTTTTAAATACTTGCAATATCATAAATAATAATTAATTACTTTATTACATTAAGACATTACATTTATTAGTTACAGTTTATTCTGCAATCTGCATGAATTAGGCTATTGTATAAAACTATTTCTTTTATTGCTTATTAATTAATGTTTATTAATCAAAATTTTTACCATAATATAAAAGCCACACTATCTATAGTAAGTCTCTTTGAGAAAGAAATTAAATAACAAAGAAATTTCATTAACCTAAAAACATAAGGTACCTATAAAATTAAATTTGAGTATCTTTTTACTTAGAATAAAGCTATAGTCATAAACTTGTACTTTGTTTAAGGATATAATTTAATTATTCATGAGCGAGTTAACTAAAACACTATGCAGAACTGAACTATCAAAAACTCTATGATTGTAATTCAATATAATACGGAATATCTATAAATCATTTACTTAGGCCTATATATAAGTGACTATTTTAATAATTAACCAGGGCTCATAGTTACATTACATTTGATAATTATAAGACACAAATAAAAGTAAAATAATCTATACATTTGTCTTGTGCATCAAGGATTCCAAATTATTGGTAAAAATTATTTTGAAAAGTACTGGGAATTTTGACCCTATAAGTTTGATTCAATTTTCTTCTAGGAATCACTCTCTAAACTTGAAAGCAGAAGTATTTTAACTGCTCCAAAAAGGTTCCACATGCACAAAAAAAAATATAAAAATACTGTATGTGAAATAATTGCTCAGAGCAGAATCTAAAAAATGGTCACACAATTTATTTTATTAGGGTATAGGGCCAGTCATGAGATCAGGGCCGATACAAATTTGAAAACTCGGTAGCCCGAAATAGCTCAATCTGGCCCTGCCAGTTAGTCTCAATTCTAAGCTACCTTGGATTAAATTATAAGATAAAATAGTAATATTGTAAACGCCTTTACCTTTTTTACAGCTTCTCTCTTTTTTTCCTTTTTATCGCTATTCAATTCAGACTTCAATTCAAATATTTCACCTTTTTTTGTGGTGGTAAAATATTTGCTATCCGTCATCTTGATATTTTAAATTTTCTGAAAATATATATTCAATGATATTTCAACTATAATTCAACATTCACTGATAAATAATCGGACGCGATCACCTTACTACCTATATAGTAGGTGCTGTAAATAATATACAAAATACAAATATACACACCAACTTATCTTCTTGAATTATAGGGGCGTGTGCCAGCAGCAATCTGTTATCGAATTAAAATAAGAACACAATTTTAGCACCAAAATTACTTATATTTGTAGATACTGCGAAAAATATCAAATACCAACAACAGCTAAATTCAGTGATTAGTTATGCAGAAACTGAAGATAAGTATAATACTTGTGTAGTGTAATGTTATTGTTATTACTTATTATGAATGTAAATAACAACTAACAAGTAAGTAATATTTGCTGTACACTAATTTCTACTCGCACTCGATGCTCGTCGCTCGATACTCAGTCACTAAGTAGTCAATTTGATAATTATTGATCGGAAATTGGCGTATGCTCCAATGTTAAAAAATTTCAACAATTTTTTTTAACACTGATAAATAATTAACATTGATAACACGTATTGTAATTTCGTGTTTTGTAGCCGAAATGAAAACATAATAAAATGTAGACAGTAATAATTGTAGTTGTCGTGTCGTGTCATCCCTCGAGTGCAGATAAGCAGTGTTGCAAATCTCAATAATTATAAGTTGGTATGAGCACAAAATTGATAAATGTCATATTTTATTCTAGCTTCCAAAACGCCGCTAGTTTCAAATATGAAACAAAGTTAATCTTAGTTACTTGTTTCAAATTACCTCTTAGGACTTAAGGAATTAGGTATTTTAATCTATCTTACACAACGGATTACGGAGTTTATTAAATTATATGTACTGGTTTGTTATATCCCCGCCAAGAGTGTGAAAACCACTCTAGAAAACCACTTCTATCTAAAGCCGTGGTGAAAACCTTATAGCTCCGCCATTCAAGTTTGATATCTCGCCGCCATCCATAATAATAAATATATTGCGTTGATAATTCAACGATTCTCTGAAAAATTGTACCATCACTATAGCCTATAATACATAATATGGGTTATTTAAAAAACAGTAATCAAACTGATATACCAAACAAATATCAGACGGTATAACAAAATCCGAGAGTTTAGACTCTTATAAGTACGTTTATGTTATGTTAAGACAAGTGCCAAATTTAAATTCCGGAAACTTTAATTTATATTAATATGTATATCATAATTCATAATATAAGTACCTAGGTACACATTTTTTATCTATTAGGTTTAGGTATATTAGTGGAGAGGCTATACAATTTTCACACTCCCGGCCACGGGTATACCTAACAAACCAGTAGGTACTGTAAATTACAACAATATGACTTAATAATAAAAAAAAATAAAAAAAAATATTAAAATAATTAAAATATAAGCTATTCATCAATGATTATTGTTTATACTACAAATTATAATAATATTATAAAATATGCTATTTTTGTTATTTTCGTATTCGTTTAACCTGCAGTGTTATGATGTACTCCTGTGATGGTTGATGATGGTGATTGGTGACAATCATTTTATATCATTTAGTAATTTTGTTATATTTTTACTCCATACCTACTCCATATACATATTTAATAGTCAGTGATTGACTTGGGGGGAGGGGGGGCAGGAGGGCTGAGACACTGAGCACCCCAACTTTTCGGATATTCTAGTTTACCCCTAAATTGTTTTCAAGTTAGTGTGCAATTTACGGTATTTAGATTTACTTTTTTAAAAATAACAAAGTTGATATATTAGATACAGAGACGATACGCCGATACGTAATAATCTTCGAAATTCTCATTCCTCCAATCAAGTTATCTACATCTTGGTAGTGCAGTGCACGTATACTTCTTCGTGCAAACATTGTGTACCTAATAATGTAATGCATGTGCATTATAGCCTATAGGTATAATATAGATTATAGACTATATAGTACCTATATAAGTTGATTTCATTAAAAATGTTTACTACTACATGCCACATTAAAATTCCACAACTGGAATAATTGCAAAAAAGCAATAAAAATGAGAAAACAGTAAAAAAAAAAAAATAACAATTAAACTATCACAAATTCCAAATGCACATTTAAATTTTTTTTCTTGATAAATAACTTGAGGTGTGTCTGTAGCATATTTCATACTGTAAAAACCTATACCAAACTAAAATAAAATTCGAGGTCCCCTATTCCCTATAATAACGGAGGACATAGATTTCCTATGGTGAGTCTAAATGTCTTATAATAATAATATGAAATGTCCCTGCAGATAGAAGGGTACTTAATATAGAGATTGGGTCATTAGGATGTTCGGAAGACACCAGAAATCAACGTAACTTGACACTTGCCACTGAGTTGCCAGTTTAAGTACTTACTGCCTGTCTGCCTATGTAGGTAACGTAGTGGAGTCAAGAAATATTTATTTCACTTTCACTTGTGTGTGTACTGTGTCCTGATAAAAAGTAAAAATTAATATTAATATCCTTTTTGAGTTCAGTAATTATTTAATAAATAATCAGAATTCATAGCACCATCGAAAGATGTTTTAATTTTTTACTTGTTCACAAATTCAGGATTGACCTGGTTTACACAACAATACAACATCATAGACAACTCTACAAAAGCTGAGTGCCTGAGTTAAATCAAATACTATAAAACAACTTATCGATGATAGTTAGATAGGTGGAATAGGTAGTAACTAGGTAGTATTTACTATTTAGTTACATAAAACAAATATCCAGGGCCGGCGGAAGGCACAGGCAACACAGGCCTATGCCTGGGGCGGCATTATGGAAGAGGCGGCATTTCCTTGATAGTAGGAAGGACCGTATTTAGAATAACATAAATATGTTGCTACTTAGGCTAACGCAAAAACCAAAAACCGTTTTTAAAATACCAATGATTTAATTAATATAAATTAAATAAATTTATTTTTGGTTGGGACGGTTTATTTAAAAGTACAAATGTATAATACACCGAAATAAAATGTAGATAACGTATAACATTAATTGATTTTTCCCCGAAATGACGAAGTCGCGGTGGTCGAAAAGTCGTTCTGAAGCCCAAGGAATTTAAAAAAAAATATCCGACTTTAAATTTGTGATGTGTTTAGTAATATGGTATGATATTTTATATGAAATTAATATTTCGAGCAAACTTCTCCAATCACCCTAGCTTGATCTATCAGAAGCTACTAACCAATTAACACGTTGGCTGACGCATGGCCGCCGGCGCCCCAAGTAATTTCTGAGCGTGGTGGGCCATACTATTTTCACATAATTTATCGTAAATGTTTACGTTTGTAAAAATAGCTCTAATTTTCCGATTTTGATAAAATTTATACAGTTTTAATCAGTAAACCTTGTATAATAATATAAAATGAAGAAATGTCTTGGGTCGCCGGCTGGCAAGTGGCCTACAAATGATATGACTTTATATAATGGGCCACTGTTGGTCGCCGGCGGTCTTGTTCTAAACATAAACTTAGCTGGTATTTTTTTTTGCTTATCATAATTTACACTATTATAGTTTCTGTGGCGATAAATCGATTATTCAATGTCAGTCGTCTTTAGTTTTCGTTTTCGTTGTGACCGTTGTTGATAGTGTTAAATTCCTTTTGTGTTTTATTTTTCAAATAAAATTAAACTTTTTACAAAATGGATGAAGATATGATAATAGATTCATTAAATGAATCATACGACTCTTTTAGTGAAAGTATTGACGATAGTGATGCTGATCCGTTATTTCAAATTGAAAATGAAAGTAATAGTGACTTTGATGATTCTACTGAAGACGAGGACGAGGAGGATCATTCAATTTCTGTACATAATAATGTTCAACCACTTCAACCCGCCTGGAATATAGTTTCAGGTAATAATCAAAAACATTTCAACTTTATTGGAAACTCTGGACCCTTAGTTATATTAGACGAAGGTAGTGGGCCTATAGATTTTTTCAAATTATTTCTTACCGATGAAATAATTCAACTCATGGTTATTGAAACAAATAGAAATGCTCAACAAATGTTAAGTTCACAAAGAATATCAAGGGGTAGTAGATTTTCGTCTTGGGTACCAATAACCAAGGAAGACATCGAACATTTTTTGGGTCTTTTGTTATGGATGGGACTAGTGAAAATGCCATCATTGTCCGACTATTGGAACAAAGCAGAACGTTACCAAAACAAAGTTGCATCAAAAACTATGAGTAGAAATAAATTTGAGCTTATTCTACGATTTTGGCATTTTGAAAATAATGATTCTGCAGATAAAACAGACCGATTGTATAAAATTAGAAAATTATTAAATATAGCAAATGATATATTTAAAAATGTGCACCAACCTGGGGAAATAATAGCTGTTGACGAATCAATGATACCTTATCGTGGCAGACTCAAATTTCGACAATATATTCCGAACAAAACTCATAAATATGGCATTAAATTTTTTAAAGTGTGTGTAATGTGTGTAATGATATTTTATATGAAATTAATATTTCGAGCAAACTTCTCCAATCACCCTCGCTTGATCTATCAGAAGCTACTAACCAATTAAACATCACAAAAAAGTTATTGGAAGATTATCGTTCTGAAGAAGGTTTTAAAAAAACATTAAAAACTGCAAAGGAAGTTGCTAAAAAAGTTGGAATTGATGACAAATTTGATAGTTTACAAAGATCGAGACGTAAGGCGATTTCCCGATCCAAAAATTCACTTCAAAGTTAATTTTTTTTATCAAGTTTTGGATACAGGTATTCAGTCAGTAATTGAAAGATTGGATAAGCTATCTAAGCATAACAGTTTATTTTCGTTCTTATATAACATATCAATAATTGAAGATGAAAATGGGTTGTTAAAACACTGCAAGGATCTACAACTTTCTCTCACTTCTAACGACGGTTTAAACACAGATATTAGTGCTGTAGAATTACATCAAGAAATTATCGCATTTAAAAGATGTTGAAGGACTGAAAAAAGTGATCCACGCAAGGTTTTGGAATACATATGTAAAAGGAAAATGGTGGAGCTTTTTCCTAACCTGGTCACAGCCCTTAAGATCTTACTGACATTACCTATAACTGCAGCTAGTGCCGAAAGATCATTTTCAAAAATTGAAAATTATTAAAAACTATTTGCGGTCCCAAATATGTCAAATGCGTTTAGTTGGTCTGGCAGTTCTTTCTATTGAAAAGGATGTATCAAACAAATTGGACATGGAAGAAATAATAGAAGAGTTTGCAACATTAAAAGCCAGAAAAATAAAATTTATATAAATATTAAAAATGTTGGATTCTTTATTATACCACTTTAAATTTTTTTTAAGTTTAATGTATTTCAATTTCAACAAAAATGTCTACTATTTATATTTCTATAGTTGAATAAAAATATTTTTTTGTGAATTATAAATTATGACTATAACGTATAGGTATACTGCGACTTAAGCCCGAAGTAGACGTAAATATGTTTGAGGATATGGGGGGGGGGCAAGGGGTAAATAGAGGGATCAAAAATGAAAGGGCGGCAAATTTTGATTTTGCCTATGTATACATCTTGTCTAGAGCCGGCCCTGCAAATATCAAATCTTTTATCGTCATATACGATAATTGATAATATATGTAAATATATTAATATAATATAATATACTGTGTGTCCGCGAAAACTGGGTGCACTCTATAATATTCAGTTACCTACCTACCTACAATGGCCACATTACTCAGTACGATAGTTTGTACTCTATAATAGGTACATATTTTAGAATTCTGTCTGCAGGAGATTGATAATCCAATAGTCTAGTTTCGTGTTCCGCAAAACCAAATTTAAAAATATATGTATAGTGTACTGAGTAAAATGGGTAATTTAATTATTCAGTGTACTCTGTTTTCGCGGACACATGGTACCTATACGTGACGAAACGATTAGAAATTTTCAGTAAATCTTTCAAATACTTCAATAATAATTATTTATACCAACAGTTAACTCAATTTAAAATTTTTTAAGGTAAAATTATATTCAAATAATCAAATCACAGTCTTAGAACTTAGAAGTTAGAATAATATTTGGGTATAATATTCTAGTATTCTACTTTACCGGACACCCTTTTTTTTGCATTTTTTTTTTAACTAATGTAGTTAAGCACGCTGAAAACGATGGTGAGGTCCAAATTTGCCTCACCGACTTAGTTTTGAAGTTATGGTCTAATGAAGTTCACTATTTTGCGATTGTCAAGCATTCGCGCAACACTAGTTTACCGCGAGCCAGCTACTACGAATATTGATTTTTTTTTTTTTCGATTAAATCATTTATTTAGTTAAAAATGTTGAATCGTCGTTGCCTACGTCTTTAATATACTTATCTATGCCTGTGGGCTGTGACCCACTTGGGGAGGTGTTGCATAGCAAATCGAGCGATATTTTCGTTTTTAATCGTCCGAGCGAGTGACGCCACTGTCGGTGACTCGGTGCAACAAAAATGCAATTTTTACACATTTTTTTTTCTATTTGACATCACTGTTTTTTCTAGATTTTCAACTTATGGGCAGTGATTACAAGTTTTGCAGCACTTATCGAAAAAAAATATACCATATTAAATAATATGTAATATGTATCAATATTCGTAGTAGACACGTAGACGCAATAAACTAGTGTTGCGCCAATGCGTGAAAATTGCAAAATAGCGAGCTTCATTAGGCCATAACTTCAAAACTAAGTCAGTGCTCTAAATTTGGACTTCACCTAGTTGTCAGCGTGCTTAACTACATGTCTACATCAGTTTCAAAAAAAAAAAGGGAGTCCGGTAAAGTAGAAAAGTTCCAATATTATATATTATCTTCTATAGACTATAGCGGGATTCACAGTCTTCACACTTATACCCGATACCGTGTCGTTTTTCAAGACTCAAATAACTTTTAATTCAAATATATTTTAAATACCCTACAAGATATATTATTGATTTATTTTTCCCGTGACTCCTGTACATAGATTTATTAACTTAATAAGTCTATGGTCCGTAACCACGGTCACGAAAATATGTTTCTATCATACCTATATAATATTATTAACGTGTTATCACTCTGTTCTCGCCGCAACGCTACCCGGCTACCGCCAATCAAAGAACACGTAAGCAATCAATGACGTCAACGATTCGTTTGCACATTATCAGTAGCGTAACAATTATCAGCATTGCTCCCCGAAGGTTTTAATTTCAAAGTTTGAACAGATAAATAGAACATTACGTTTTAATATAAAATTTTAAAGCAATATAAAACTTGACACTTGACAGTTGACATCGAGTTATTCGAGCTGTGAACAGCTTAAATGTTTCGCCTCTTTACGACTTTACAACAACTGTCAAAATGATACCGTCGAATATGAACTCACTGATCGGACTTTTATTTTTGTCGTACTGCATCTGTTTGGTGAAATCGATCGAGTTGACTTTTGAACTCCAGGACAAAGCAAAGGATTGTTACTACGAAAACATACAGAAAAATACGTCCACCACGCTGGAGTACCAAGTACGGTGGATATAGTTTAGCGATACATTAATTGTATAATTAACTGTGTGTTGTGTTTCAATTGCAGGTCGTCACTGGTGGTCAATATGATGTCGACGTGATAATCGAGTCCCCGACCAAAGAAATTCTATACAGACAAGTGAAATCGCAATTCGACAGCCATACCTTTGTAGCAGCAGTTAGTGGACCATATGCCATTTGTTTTAGTAATGAGTTCTCAACATTCTCGCACAAGCTCGTATACATGGACTTACAAGTTGGCGAGGAAGACCCACTACCCGGTATAGGAGAGCAAGTGACTGTTATGACTCAGGTATATACTTATACTTTTTATTGATCGTAGTATCGTATCCAACTATAGAATATAAATATTTCATTATGTTGTTTTAGATGGAAACAACGTCGCAAGATATTCATGAATATTTAAACAAAATTATCGACTATCAAACTCATCATAGATTAAAAGAGGCTCAAAGTCGTAAACGGGCTGAAGATCTGAATCACCATGTAGCGTTATGGTCAGCTACAGAAACTATTGCAATACTATTAGTCGCCATTGTGCAAGTATATACGTTGAAACGATTTTTTACAGAAAAATCCCCTACACAAATCCCCTACAAGTCAATGTATTAAAAGTATTAGGTTGAGAATAAATAATATGTATAATAAAATATGATTATTAAATACCAATAAAGAATTATTATCCTTTTTCTCGACATAATATTAAGATGTGTTTACAAGAGACTTATAACTGAAAAATACTTTTTGTGTGTAAATTAATATTCTTTTAGTCCAGGGTTTAGCAAAAACTATTAAGATTAACATGTACATATTATTGGTTATAATTAATCATAGTTTGTTGTTAAAATGCAAAGAATTTATCATCTTGCTTTGTACATTAATTTTTATGATATTGTCCAAATCAAATTGTATACTTACATTATATCAAGCATCATTTAGTTATCAAGACATTTTTACATTTTTAAAGTTTTAAAGAACCATACATTGTTTATAATTATAATACCGAGTTGCATGAACAATCACCATAGGCGTAAATAGCATTTGAAATTTTTTTTTTGGGGGGGGGCTAAATCCCTACTTCAATAATAATATATTGAATACGCTTAAAACAACATTTAAGAAATACTTGGGGGTCTTGGCCTCTAAAGCACCCCCCCCCCCCCAGTTGTGCCTATGAGTCAATCACTAAACATTTAACAAATCGTTCACAGAATATCAAATAGTGAGCTCAAGGTCTTTTTAACATGATTTAGTGGCCTATTAAATTTAATTGAACCATTAAATGAATATATTTTTCATGCAACCCGACATCAGTGTTTAAATGGTTTTAAAAATGTATTATCTATATTTTTTTGTGCAATATAATTTATTATTTTGGATTATTAAATTAATGAATTTTTACATTGACTTGAGTCTTGAAGTGTTTAATTGAATTCTGTATGAAATTTTCATTATTTTATATTTAAATATAATATAAGGATATTATATTATACTGCATTGCATTGTTTTTTTTCTTATTTACATTTTCATCTTTCATTTAAATTAGGTACTTAAATACTAACATAATTATTGGATGAGCTTAAAAACTGGCCACCTTTATGTATAAAAGTAAATATATTACATTATTTGACACGTTCGTGGTCAGTTACTGCTATAACAGTAATTTCAATTCTAATGTAATGGGTCACTACTGCTATAGCAGTAATTTACAAATCCACAAAATCAGGTATTACTGCTCATGCAACAATGTTTCCAATGGTTAGGTTAGGTCAGGTATATTGAATAACACAAATTAATTTTTTTTAACATGGATTAACTCAACTCAACTCATTATCATATACAATGATAATAGTATAATAATATAACTAATATCTATAATTTATACATAACGAATGTCAAGTAGGTATCTTATGATCTTTGTATCAAGTATCTAGCTTCTAGCTCGTATTATAATTCTTTATTAATGTTTTATTCTAATATATGGTATAAATATATGCCATGGAAATCTAAAACATTACAATTATTTTTCCAATCGTATTTAGGATGACTTTTCTTTTTTTGAGGCGGAGTGGGTAGAGGGCTAAGCCCTAATCCTAATTTCACTAATGGTGAAATCTATACTATCCTAACCTAACCTTATTTTATTTTTTAGATTCTGAGTGGAACGATGAATGTATTGATTTTACAATGATGTGTGTTTTTTTTTTTTTTTTTTTTGTGTCTGTCATCACCTTTTAGACAGTAAAAGTGCTTGGATTTTCTTCAACAGTATCTTTTCTGATAGGAAAGTGAATCTTGTTGGTACTTTGGGGGGTCAATAGTAAAAATTTCCCAGTAGTTTTTAAAAGCGCCGTGAAAAACAAAAGAAAAATTAAGGAAAAACAGGAATTTTTACGCAAAATCTGTTTTCGAGAAAATCGATTTTGGTTTTTGGTGTGACTTTAAAACAAATGACCGTAGATAAGTGAAATTTTCACTGGTTGTTTATATTTGCATTTCCTATACACCATACAACTTTTAAAATATTTTGACTCTTTTTGAGCTGTTTACGGACATTTTCAGTTTTCAATTATTTTAGTTTTTTTTCTATAAATATCAATCAAGTTTTATCTGTTGGGCCAAAAAGTGTAAAAATTTAATACAAGGCTACTGATAGGCTACTGAGTAGGTACTGATATATTGTTACAATATCAATTGAAAAATATTAAAAATACATAGGTACAATTTTTTTTTATAAGCATTTAAAGATCGAATTTTGACAAAATGTATCAAATTTAAAATTGAATAATTATTTTGTTGATAAAAATTTATGAAATGTTCAACTTTAAATCTAAGGATTAAAAATTTAAAACAAGATTCCACGTAAGTATTTAATTCTGCAACCAAAAAATCTAAAAAATACATACTCACAGTTTATTTTTATAGTCATTTTAAGTTCAAATTTGGACGAAATTACATATTAAAAAACATTAGAATAACTATTTTAGTTATTTATTTTGATTGTAGGTATAATATTATTCCTGGGTACTTGAAACTTCAAAAGTACACTATTATATATCTATGATAGTATCAGGGTTTGTTGTTGATGTATAACGCGTTATAAGTACCTAATGGATATTGTGATATGATTAATTTGGAATTTATTATAGGTACCTATTATAGGTCAATTTTTTTAATACCATAGATATAAGTATATAATATGCCTTATACCTAGACTGACATACCGTCTCCGCTCAGAATCGTTTTCTTATACAATGATATTATATCATTGAATTCAAATTTAATATCATCCATTATACAGTGACCTACTTGTAACCTACTGTACAGCAGTCAGCAGAGCACCTTTTTTATAATAGCTATCATGTTTATATGCAGTCATTAATGCTTATTAACTCAATGCGCATTGAGTTAATCCGTGAGTTGGGTGCATATAAACTCATTTATTATTTAATTCAATTCGTCAAATCGAATTAGATCTTACTCCGAGATTAAGAAATGCATTTAAACGCTTTAATGAGGATTAATTTTTTCACGGGAATTTAAAAAAAAATTTATAATTGTTTTGGTCATGGAATACAAATTATAAAACATGTACTAAAAAACATTCGCATTAGCCTAAAATTTTATCCGACCTCTAATCTTGATTTTTTAGGTGCATATATATGGATACCCACCCCATTATTCGCATTAATTCAATTCGCATTAAATCAATGCGAATTAACTGCTGCATATAAACGTGGTAAGCTGTTCAATATCAAATTGTTATGTTTTATTTACAAAAATATTTTATTAATTTTACAATTTTAAAATTCTAATAACTTGCGCCAGAACAAACTTACCAAAAAAATGGTATACGCCATACGGTGTAGTGTATTCCTGAATAATATTCTTTAAATTGTCTTCACATTATTGTTATTAAAAATAACAGAAACAAATATATTCTTCTGAACGTAAAATGTTCTATGTTATGAGCATAATAAGCCGGAGTCAAATGTAGTCTCACATATGTGGGTTCGACGTCCTCTTAAGTGTCCTAACTTTATAGTTTTCGTATTTTTATTATATTTTTCCGTGTGATTATGGTACTTCACTCATATTGACAATTTTTATTATGACCGAAGATATTTTCATTTTTAAATATAAGTAAACTGTCGTTTCTTTCTTCATTCCGTGATTACTGGTTTGCTTACGAATTATAGTTGTTAAAGTTTAAATTTCAAGTAGAGTACTAGGTAGTTCTAATATATATATACGACAAATAATATTATGTTTGATTATGTATTATGTATTTAATATTTATTATTAAATCTCAATCACTTGAAAATAAGCTCTACTCCACAGGTGTTTTCCTCGACTCAGGCGTTTGACCGCATTTAGCACCACGTTTGGGCCTTCTCCACAAAATTCGTTTTCTTCCGGCTCCCTTATTTCTAATAATTATATCCTTCCTATCAAATAAGATTTTTTCCTGTTCATTGTGAGGACAGAAACTCTCTCAAATCCACTATAATAAAGCGGGCGTTCCTAGGGGTAGTATATATTATCTCCAAGATTTTTCAACATATTTACATCCGACATTCCACACTTTGAAAACACCACTCTTGCTACCTTCACTATTGATACAGCTATTATTTCAACAAATGTCGACCTAACTAGATCCTCTGACGCACTCAAAGCACACAATAAACCCCAAAACTGGTTCAAGCAGTGGAGAATAAATTTAAATAAATCCGAACAAATCAATGAACACAACTTTCACTCTGCCCCCCCCTCCCCCAATGACGCTTAATAACGACATGATTCCCTCAAACAAACTCATCTGATATCTCGGAGTCCACCTAAACAGCAAACTTACATGGATCAATCATAAAAAAACATAGAGAAGATCCCTCAAATAAAATCTTCCACTCAACGTCTAACTCTTAATCTATAAACAAATTATCCGCCTATCGATGACCTACTGAATTCAGCTATGGGAACGGCCAAAACATCCAAGATTAAAATATTCCAATCATTCCAGTCAATTTGAGTTCTGCTCAACACATGGTACAGTAGAATCCCGCATTCCCACTACTGTAAGCCATTTCATAAAAACACATTCAACCATTCAAATCCCCTAATTTCCAACCTCTCCTTTCTTAAACTGCCTGATAATCCACCACGCCGTCTTAAACGCAACTTGCCCAGGGACGTACTCAGTGGCGTATATAGAAATAATTTTTTGGGTGGGCTATAGTAGATATAAACTAGCAAGTGATCTATTACTTAGAGGCTACTGTCTACTAGGTATATATTTAACAGTTTCTATAAATTTATTGGTATTTGTTATTTTTCAATAGGCTATGTAATATTATAACTTAAAATAATAAAATATATTGTTGTAATGTTGTTCTATTTAAAAATACTGTAATTTCGGGGGGAGGGCTGCAGCCCACTGTGCCCACCCCCCATATACACCACTGCGAGTACTAAACATTAAAAAATATATATATACATATATAAACAAATACAAAATAAATAAAAAACAACCTATAGTTAGGAAGTATAGGGTCATTAAACCCCCAAAACTTCCATCAAGCGTCGAGTCCTGTATACTTGTACTCCTTACCCAT